CCCCCCGCCTCCTCTCCTGTGTTGTACTAACGGATTTCTTTACACGAGATTTACCGGAAAGATATATATTTTTTTTCCTGAATTCGTCATTGCTATTAAGGTTAATGTAACGTACGGATTTGAAATTGTCTCTAGTACGCTCATGCTTATTTAACATATAGCAATTTTCATGGCGCGACGATTTACCATTTACTCACACGTCGCTCTATCGAAACTCACTTCCGCAAGTTCATCGCATCTGCACGTAACGCTTGCGTAACGGAACGGAGATGAATTTCAATACGTGAGAGGATCGCACCGTGTATGATCTTTCGATCTTGGTGAAAGTCTAAAGAATTTCTCTATCTATGATGAAGTGTCTCTTGTAAGGCGTGGACACGAATGAATTTCCTATGAAACCATGAGTAATCGCTATGTGAATAATTGATATTCTTGTTCTATTCAATACCTCGATGCGGGTTAGGCAAATAGTACATTACGATTGGACAAATTTTTTTTTTTTTTTCATTCCGATTACATTGTCTGACATAATTTTTTCCCATTTTACTTTTCAAATGCCACCTTCAGCTCACTTCGTAGCACCTTCAATGACCTTCCAAATGTCTACGTATGCCAGATAACGGTAAGCTCAGATACTGTGTATTCTCAGTGACTCTGTAGGTACTGTTACGTCCACCATCTTGGTGGCCTGTATATCTTTTAAGGAACACTGACTTGGTATCGTGTCGATTCTCTTCGACGAGGCTCTTTATACATATATTCCGTGGCGTTTGACGAGATGATATTTGAAAGAAAAGAAAACCGTTAATTCGATAGGAGGTAACAGATTTCTTAAACGAACCAAACGTGGGACTGTCGTCAAAGACATTTTGTTATTTCGTTACCTCCTACGCGTAGGATCCTTTTTTTTTTAAATTACGCCATACGTGTTGTCCATAGTATGGTCTCTCTGATTTTTTATAGCCTTCGCTCATCCCATACAGCATTCTTAATAATGTATCCTGTTAGCATTGACCTATTGGAATAGTAGACAACCGATGATAAGGCAGTTTCGAAAATGTCAAGAATTCACTCTCATAGTAACAATTTACGAATGAAAAGTATAAATAGTGACCGTTAAAAATTAAGAGTTGTCGCGGTATATGAATGGCGTATAAAAATGTCAAGGGAAATGAGAATGCCTAATGGAATCTGGATGCGACTTTCATATACGCGGTATTTAGTACGCATGATCGAATTCCATCTGAGATACTCGAAGTGAATGGTTTCTCTGTTAAAATGATTGTCGAGAATTATTTGTGCGGTGTTATGGCTGGCTTCGCATGGACGACGCTCGATTTTCTCTACGAATAACGAAGAAGAGATGTGCCCTCTTTATATTTCGTTAGTGTCCCGTCGGACGTCTCGACGAAAAAACAATGCGAATCATTCCGATACATTCACGCGACCCGAATCACTTTTTGTCAGTATGCAGTACTTCTTTTTTTTTTCTAGACTTTCTTCGATTTTATTCTTCACTCAACTCTTTATTTTATGCGTTTATGTATGTTCTGAAGATTCTCTTTATCCATATTTGATTTCGAATGTTTTGTGGTTCGTGACTAATCCATCCGGGATCCTGCTTATTCAAATGGGGCTTCGAGATCTTATAATGTTATTCCATGGAATTTTAAGGCTGGCTAACAAAATTCGTGAGGTATGAGACAGCCGTGAGTTGTTTTGAAAAATCGCACCAGCCATTTTATGGATTTATTTTTACCTTGTCCAATCGGCGTAACTTCAATTTCCTCTAAGAAATTGTTTGATCGGCAAAGAACACTAGCCCCAGGTACCTAGGATAAACTCAGTATAGAAAGGAACGTAGGCTACATAGGATATAGAGACACGTTCCCTAGTGTCTCGGGGCGTTAAGCCTGTGCCACCATCTATTTCTTCACGTTCCTTGATAATTTCGCAAGAAGTCTCTTCGAAATAACTTCACGTCCCTGTGTCTTGTGTTTGTTGTCTGGTCTCTTATGCTAATTACACAATACGACAAGTGGCCTCCGAAGCATACTTTTCTCGGCGAGAAATATCCCACCGGACGCTCTGGATGTCTAATAATAATAGGACGGAAGTGAAGTTGTTGTCCTTTCTGAATAAGAGACACTGCCCGGATGCTAGTCTTCCTTTATTAGGAAATTTTCACGTAAGCCTCTCGCGCTCCATGAGAAAGTCTCGGAAAATCCATTTACTTGTACGTCAATTCCTGTTTACGGAATATATTGTGTATCCTTATCAATCCACTTCTTGCAGTACGTCTTATCAAACTGGAGCGATTTCCACGCTACATACATAGTCTCAAGCCCAAACGAGTTTTGCAGGCCATCTTCATTTTTCTCGTCCTTCGAGGTCGAATCCCGATCCTGTTCCTCGTGTTTGCCAGCGAGAATTCCAATGCCTATCGCTTTGAGGTATCATGCTTTGTACCTTAACGTATTGCGTTAAAACTTGTTGGAATTCTGTCAATGTTACGTTTACCTGTTCAACAACATTTTTTTAATGATGATTTCGATTCGGCACGTCCCGAATTTTGACGCATTATAAGATTTTAATTTATCTTATATATCATTTCTAAAATAACCCACGTTACGTAGGTTATGTCGACGCTATAACATATTTCTATAGCAATTTTCTACTCGACTCTGTGCGGATGTCTCAGTGAGAGATCTGCGTGTATTTTGTTTGTTGTCTTGCCTAGTCGCGTTACACAATGAATGTAAAATGAGACGCATCGCGAAACGGAAGTTATAATCACGGGAACTGTGACTCGCAGTGATGTCGTTCCAGTGATACAGTTTTGGCTGTCGATAAGCATCCGGCGCATTGAAATCTCTCCTTTTCCCAGAATGCATTTTCTTTTACGGTCTTTTTTGTCCTCTTTGTTCTCATTTCTCAAAGAACACGTTTAGCGTCTCTGCTGGTTTAGTTAATTTAGTTCATTCACTTGAGATCCGTTTCATTCTTGAAAATTTCATTTAAATTACTTTTTACATATTTTCCTCAAGTATCTAGATTTATTATTTGTCTTTGCTAGTCACGGAATGCCGTACCGTCGTTGCAATTTCATTTAACGTTATTGCATCTTACTTTTGATCGATTGGCTGCAGTTACTCTACATGCAGTTTCGCGCGGAAGTCAAGAAGCGCTACCGGAAATGAGAGTCGCGCCATTACTGGATAAACTCCGTTTCCGTTTGAGGAGTCCTCGAGAATTTTCCTGGACTTTTAACGATTCCGGTTAAGATTCGTTTATCATTTTTTTTAATCAATCTTCTTCTCCTTCTTCACCTTTATTATTACTCGCATTCTTTCTTTTCTCGGAAAAAACCACCACGTTCGAATATCCGTTGCCAGAATCACACTATATATACTTCTCTTCAATTACCTTTCAGTCCACGTGTACAGGTATGTATTTCCTTTAGTTCTCACCGGCCCAGCTAGAAATACTTCAACCGTGGAGCATTATAGGAAAACATGCCGATGTAATAGAGCGTGTATGTTAATCAGATTCGAAATAAACGAAGGCTCGATCCGTAATAGTCGACGTTATTCTTTTTCTCTCGTTCTCTCTCGCGTCTCTTGCGAAACTATCGAATCACTCTGTATAATGGCTAAATTTCAACTCAGCCATTAGCCAGTAGTCAATTCAAAACTATTTTTCATCCACTTCTCGGTAACTTATCGTGCCATAACCTTTGAACGATTTATACGATACCAACTGGTATTGCTTATGAAGCGGGAACTATTTTTTTCAATTTCATAGAGGGATATTTTCATTGACAACTACTTTTGGTACATTTCATTCGTTGTAGTCTTAAATTCCATTAAACATCGTAAACCTTTTACCTTTACTTAATGCTAGAAGGAATTGTTTATATATTCCGCGGTTCCCTGACATGCGTGCACGTAATAAACGAAGAAGAACGAAGCCACCAGAGCACCATGCTCCAATGATTATAACGACCAAGCAACTGGGCAAGGAGATCATGATTATTATTTTCTAATCTCTACTACGATATTCCCCCTGTGATAATACAAAGTTAACTGTCAGTTGTACCGGCGAAGTATCATCAGTTAACTATATTGAAACGGTACGCGAAAACATCAGTTGTATTTCGAAAAGTAATTCTTAACGCTTTCTTAAGCAACTTTTACGTAATAAAAGCCTAACTGGATATCGAATTACCAATTCATTCAAATACTCACTCATTCCCATAGTTATCCTTCTTGATACATATTGATTGATCCGATCGGCACCAAAAATCTTCACCACACGAAAACAAATATCAAAAAACAGTTAAATAAAATATAAATGAAAAAAATGTTAATAAATTTTTAAACAGCCACTACAAAGTTTCCCTAAAAGCGTTCAAATGTTTTGATTCAATTGGTCGTTTTTATATATTTTTTTTTTATTATTTCATTTTTATTTAGCATGACAGCATCAGCTTTTATTATCTTCGGTAATTCCCCGGACAGGATCTCGACCCGTACCGTAGGTGTGTAAAACTGGCCTCCCGTTATATGATCGAATGCAGCACCGGCATCGTGCTCTTCTTGGACTCGACTGCAAGAAAACTTGCTGTAAAATTCAGTCCTGTACCTCCACCGTGGTTCTCTTAGTAGTACCTCTGCAAGGTAGGGTAGAGTAGGGTAGGATAGGCTAACTAAGAAGGTGCTGTATGCCCGTGAGCTGTGTGCTGTCTGCTATGTGCTGTGCGCTGGTATACCAGAGAGACACGTAGAGAGAGAGTTTCAACAGTGAGAATAAGCGAGCCAGGTGTATATAGATATAGTTTGACCAGATAGTCAGGTTTGGTCAGACCTACCGTCAGGAGTTGGATAGACTCAGGATCATCTATAGTTCATTCAGATTTACATACGTATAGTATATTTTAGTATAGGATGGTGTACGTTATACTCGTGGATTATACTATACCTGAGTTAATGCGACGGTATAAGCAATAAGAATGATATATAACATACTTAGGTATTTTGAAGAATCTACTTCTTGATAATAGATTTATTTGCCTTGTTGAGATACCCCGTGCGGAATGAATTCTTAGTGAGAAATTTAAATTAATAATATAAACACGAGGCTTTTGAGAGAATAATTTTATTTTATAAATACAAAATTTTGCTCCATGCTGTACAGTAATCAATAGTTATAGATATTGGACGTAACTGTTTGCATATCCACAGCAGTGTATTTGCTGTTTAACATTACAAGTTTCTATTTGCTTATAAATCGGTTGAAAAGTTTTCTAGGTATTTGTAGTATTCATTATTTAATAACACCATAAATTTTGTATATAACAATATTAATTAACTCTGAAATCATCTTGAGAAATCAGACAGTTTAAAACGACTGCTATTTCAATTTTTCCTGATAAGTGTCGAGAGGGGATCTCACGAGATATAATCACTGTGTTTGAAATACATCTGTTAGTCGAGCGCCAGCTCGGGTCTTGTTCAGATATCAAATTTTTTTTCTTCCTTATGAATTTTCACGTATTATGATTGAATTCCTTACAAACGTAAATATATCATATATTTGTATTAACACACTTTGCGCTGCCCATAATTAGAATTCATAACCATTATTTTGATTGTAATATCAAATTTCAAGTTTGGCATCTTAATGTCAATTGGACTCGAATTACTTGTATCTGTGCTTATTACAGTTTTTAACTGTGCAACTTCTGTATCGGAATTAAGTGTTACTACGGTAAACACCCAGGTGTATATTTACACGTCAGATGGAAGTTGATCGTACGTCTTTTAATTTCCATACAGATTTATCTTGCGGTGCCAGAGGAAAGTACATAGAAATTCAAACTGTGTATAGCGTACCTACAGTGTACAGGTACCATTCGCGGACTGTGCCCACTGCTAGTAACTTTATACCAGTACCTCTACAGCATTACTAATGTTCGTGTGAGTAAAACGTGTAAAACCTTCGCGCAGGGATTCTTTGAGGTCATCGCCCACCTGTTGCTCCTTCCAGGATAACTACGTACTTTGTTCAACACGCCTCGTGGATGAACCACGTGGATTACGAAAACTTGGCAGAGTCCCTCAATTATATTTTATCTCTCTCTACCTTACGTACTTTCAAATAAGTTCTCTCCCTTACCACTCACAGACTGTAGCATGAATCCCTAGAATTGTTTACACCGTCTGATCAAACAAAGTTTGTTACCACTTGGTCAGGTCATATTTTAAAAAACATATGCTACCTCGGTTTCTTACCGTTACGTACTGATTTCTAGCGGAAATGTTACGTGTCTTTGTAATTAACAGAAATTACATCTTTCAATAGAATGCACTGTAACAGGTTGTTTTGCTTTATTATATCTGCTGGTCGAATGAACTAGTGCGAATATTCACGCATAATACCTTTTCGCTGTGGATCCTGTTTGATACACGTCAAGTGCATGGGCCATAAGCACATCTGTTTCTTTTGGATGCCTTTTACTTGACTCGCTCTAGAAAATAAGTGATTTCTCCCCTTATTTCTTCTACGTATACAGGGTGTACCCGATGAGTAAAGGATTTCGCGTTTTGGTTCTTTTACTTGTCAGGCTTCTCACAACGATACAAGACTATTGACGTAACAGCTCGATATGATAACGGATTCCAGGTCATTAACCTTTCACATTTGTCGAAATGAATACATAAAAAGTTTTATTTTAACGTAACCTACGTTAATTAGTAAAGTCAGTAATTAATGAATTTCAGGAACACTGTATAAGTATTTATATATAATGAACTTATATACTGAAACGTATTGATGCTAATATTTAAATTACAGTGTTGGTTCTGGATTCCCTGATTCTGTACGGACGTGTCTCTTGCATCAAAAACTTCAGGTAAGAATGTCCTTTGTTAGATGTTGAATTTATTGCAATTTTATATCAGATGCACGATGCTTGATTGTTAACTGTATTTGCCAATCGAAATGCCATTCGCATATTTCGATTTGCAAAACCCTATTTGAATAAGTGGGTACGTGCGTCACTTATGACACATACATGCATGCGTATCTATGTCACTCATTAATGCAGCAAGCCACACGCTTTCCCCATTCTTAATTTCCTTCGTGATAACATGTGACATTTCTTGATTTGTCTTGTTCTCTAGATGATGAACTGTTGCATCGAGCGGAAAAAAGCACGCGAGGAATGCATCCTGAAGTCGCAGAGTATGGATATCGACGATCCTGATACGGGTAATGAATTATTTTTTACACTAATATCTTTTCTGCTTTATATATTAAGAAAAGAAACAAGTGCAATGACTTTTATTTTTCTTGTAGAATCCGAAGAGGAATTCTTTGAGTGTACCAGTGAGGAGCCTACGGATGAGGAGGAACCTTCAGTGAAGACAGTACAGAAAACTAAACATTCCTTATGGAATAGACCTGCTGGGAGATTAGCTAAGCATCCTAGTCTTCGTCTAGTGAAAACTGGAGAAGCACTTTATCTTCCTGTCACTCAGGATCCTGTTCCAAAAACTGAGGATCAACTCGAGGAAGATGCTCAAGTGATGATGCAGTTAGGAACCGATCAGCATGCTTCGGAAATGCGTGCAAGGCTTATGAGTGCATCATTACTTTCGGATATGGAGTCGTTTAAAGTATCATGATATACCCATGTGGGATTTATTAGATTTTATTGTTAAATTAGATATAGTACTTTTTAGCTTTGTCGTGGGATTTTAGGCAGCCAATCCAGGAGCTGTACTTGAAGACTTTATTCGCTGGTATTCGCCCAGAGATTGGATAGAAGAGGAGGGATTGGATGAATGGGGACAGACTAATGGTAATTGCTAAGTAAAATGCTATAACGAACCTTCAGTTATATTGTTTAATTCTTTGTGCAATGGTTAGGTCATCTGTCACCAAGAATGATGATTCCAAATAATCCATGGTCCAGAGCTTGGAGTTCCGCACAGCCGGTTCCGGCCCATCGTCAGAAACGTCTCTTTGATGACACTAGGGAAGCTGAAAAAGTTATACATTATTTAGTTTCTCAGCGTCTCGGTCAAGTTGCTCAACTGTTGTTACCATCTTTGACACACGCTGCGCTCTATACGTTAAGTTTACAGGAACAGGAAGCTCTGCCAAATTTGCCTGACGTCACACAAAGTATACTTAACAAGCTACAATTCGCTACCAAACCTATTCATCAAAAATTACAGTTATATGAGGTTGGTATCACTTATATTATCAAATTTAATTATGCCGGAAAGGAATTTGCAGTGGAATGTTGTTCGAAATTCTTCAGGAAATTACATTTGATATTGAGGGAGTGGAGGCGTTGGTAGCTCAAGTGAATTCCTTACAACACAAGCTCGGTGGCAACACTGATTCAAAAGAATTGACATCCTTCTTGGTGCAACTGATGCGCGGCAAGGAAGTAATTGTTCCTGGTGGTTCCACGGGATATATTGGTACCAGAATCACGACGATGTTTCGAGAGGCGCAGAAGGTATTACTAGTGGTTGATGTGTGTCTTATTGAGACTGTTCATTGGCAATATTAAAATGTTGAATTATTGCAGGCTGTTCATATATTGACTATGAGTAACAGCAACAATGAAATGGATGTTTCCGGTGATAACAAGCAGAAAACCTTCCCGGAACCCGTGTGTAAAGAATTTATCTTACGAGCTGTTACTCCAAGACCATCTCCGACCTCAACGCCTCAACCTCAACGTTTATATGCTTGCCTAAAGCGTGAATACATAAGAATGGCGGGTTTGTTTTCGGAGGATACAATATTTATATAATCGTCACGATAACGGAAATTAAATAGATAGCAAAAACGATTGCTTGACAAAATTTGTATATATAAATTTTATTGAGTATAAACTAAACGGTTGCACAATAAATCATGTGTTTGTGGAGCCAAGTTATGTGGAATGTAAAAGGAATATATTTTTCTGAAGTTTTGGATTTGAAAACAAGAAATCCTTGACAATATCATCGAGTTCCTCCAGGGCGAGTTGCGCATGAAGGCGTAAGACAGGATCATCATCGGTATCCCTTAAATGAATAAGTCCTCGATACACAGTCACTAGGTCGCTGCCGAGACTCCTCAAGGCATCCTTTCCTAATCCTCGTAGTAGCAATGTTGCTACCAGCACTCCGGCCCTTCGACATTCCAGTGCTTTGTCAGTTTTTATTATACAGCCGATACAGTAAAGAACCTGTATAATAATTCCACTAGTATATTCTTAACTAATCGGCATGTTATTAAATTTGTCTATCTTCTTACCTCAACTATGATATTTCCTAAACGGAATCCTAAAACTTTGCATAATTCGCCCAGACAAGACAAACTTGATGCACGCACTAATGGTTCCGGATCACGAGTTCCACACAAAAAGGCATTTATTAATACATTTCTATGTAATTGAGCCATTTCACCTGTTTTATGAAAATATGATTAACTTTGTTTATCAATTTGAATATTTTTCTCTACACTAGAATTCTATTACCTAAAGCTCTGGTGACTTTTACCAAAACTTCACCAAGTTTTGATCTTGTTTCCGGTGGTATTTCATTGGATCCACTTCTAGTGGGCATACTAATATATTCTTGAATGAGTACTTGAATTAATTTGTCCGGGAATAATAATGCCAAAGCACATAAGCCGTTTATGGCCGCTAAATAGATGAATGAATCGTCATCTTTTAGATTTTCCTAAATTGACACAGAAATTTATAATCGTTTTTATAAATTATGTTACAATGAAGGTTCATCTTTATTATACTTACTTGGAAGAAACATAGTATTATATCTTTATTAGCCATAATATTGGGATCGCGTGATTCAATTAATTTCGTAAGAACTATTAAACCGTGTGCACGAATAGGAAGCAAAGGATCTGCCAAATCTTTTATAGCTTTTTCATATTCGCTTGACTTCTTGCTGTCCACTGACATATCTTCATAATGTCTTGTTACTGATTTACCTTTCGTTTTGATAATTATTATCAATTCTTCTATCAAAACATTAAGCTCTGCATGTTCTTTAATAGAACCACGCACACCAGTCAAATAGTTAAGAAGATCTGTAAATGGTTTCCAATCTTTTGGTTTCCCCCTTTCAGTTAGTATCATTTGAATCAGCATTAAACCAATATACAATGCTTCCATATCATTTTCAGTGATAAGGACCTTATTCGCTGCGTCTGAGTTGAAATTTTTCTCTCCAAACAATGATTTTATAAAGGCTAGTAATGCCTCTGGATTTTCTAATTGTGCTTGTTGGACTGATGGTGTTGCCGCTAGTTGTGATAATAATTTAATAGTCACTACTCTTTTCTCAATAAACTCTATAGTGTCCTCCGGTGTTTCCAAGCGATTATCACATGTCCGGGTAGGTTTTTTTAAATGTACCAGGCTATTTAATAAGTAGGTGAATAAAGCGGACAACAAGTTATTATCATTTTTGATCAAGTCCATAAGGCTGTCACTTAATTCTTCACGACTAATGTTCGTTTCTGTTTTAATAATTTGAAATCCTCCGGAAGGACCAAGAGCAAAAGACAATTTTTCCCCAAAATATTTATAGCTTTCGATACTATTATCTTCCAAAAAAACAGAAAAAATAGTATTTCTCGATGCTGCATCGGATAGTAACACTAATAATAGTTCTTGTACTGTATTTCGAAGTGCCAAAATACTCTTACGGGCTTGAACGTACAGCCGGAATAATGGAATCGCAAATTCTTGTAAACAATCACTTGGTAAACTCTTAAAGTTTGCTTCACTTGTGGTAAAACACTTGGATAAATTCTCTATGCACTCAGTTAATTGTTCTTCAGTATAGTTCAATTTTTCAGTTTTAGACAACAATGGTGCTGCTATTACATGAATGATCTTTTGTGTACAAATTTCATCATTAGTTAAATAGAGTGTTCTAATGCAATAACTCGCAATTGTTGAAGCATGCCTTATGCTTTTTGATTTCAACAAGTCTACTAGCTGTAGTAAATAAAAACAAGTAAGCTTCTTGTAATAGTTGTATGATAAAAAGTTTGTAATATTTTAGACCATTTACAAACCTGTGAGCACACTGATTCAAAGTATTTTTGACTATCTGCCTCTTGCGAAGTGGCTAACAGTAACGCGACGATATCTAATTTGCCCCAATGAGCACCCAAATCCAAAATATCATCACAAACTGCTAGTACTAAAGCAAGTACGCCATTACTTTGTGTTATTATATCTATCAGACATTTACGCGTTTCTATGCGTAACCATTTTGGTGCATTCTTAACTCCAAGCACTATCATAAGTTCTTTTATAATAGCACTTCCTGGACAGTTATTTATTAAAGATTTTAATATTATCTGAAACTCCTCTTGTTCGTTTCTCAACTGCATATAAAGTTTTGCAGTCATTACAAACTGATTTGACATTAATGTTGAACTGGAGAATGTACTTTCTGATGGTTTCATTAACGGCACATACGAAAGTTGCAATAAACCTGATATGAGTGGACCCAGCTGTGCAAAAACAACTGTTTTAAAAAGAGTCTGAGTAAACCATTGACTGAGAATGCGAACTGTATGAGATAATCTTTTATATTTCTGAAACAAACATATCAATTCATTATCCATAATATAACTTACAACATATAGCAAGAACCTTATGTTGCTATACCTGAATATCTGTTAGATTTTCTAAAGGAATGTTCATGGCCTTTGGATACAATTTATGTATACTAAAACCAACTCTAGGAAGGAGAAATGGTAGAATACCCATTGATACAACAGTCTCAATTGCTGTTTTTATAGAACGAACATCGCTAACACTGAGGCATGCTTCTGGTGATTCATGCTGAATCCTTTGCATAGTATTTAACACATAGAGAAGAGTATGCAAGTATTTCCAGCTATACATGAGAAAATATTGAACTAATTTTCATATGTAAAATACCGATTATTGTAGAAAAATAATTGACAATACCGTATACTACAATCTGTCTCTACAGAGTTTCTGTCTTCATTAATTTCTGTTTGAATTTTTTCAGGAATAAGAACAAATGCTCTTTCCAACACAATTTGTAGCTTTTCATCAAAATTTTCATCATTTTCTAGAATTTAAAATAATGTCAAATTTATTAAGATTTTTAATACATTCGATGTTTATAATACTTTAATACTTTTTAACCAACCTATTTCTTTCGTAGTTAAAGCAACGATAATATTGTGAAAATCCATAGTTTCTCTGTAATAAAATTGATGAGCCGTTATTGTTGTTGTGCGGTGTGTAACAATCTATACAAGTTTCTGAGTAGTATATCAGCTTTACACGCACTTAAGTTTTGAGTAATGTCAATCGTGCTTTCTCCTATATTTCCTATTATAGAACTGGACAAGAGAACTATGTAAAGGGAAACATGGTGGAAGAGACTACGCATCTCGAGTATCCATTATTCGGGTTAACCTGATTTCATTAGGAATCCAGTTTGTTGACAGCTGTCAGAAGACTCTTAGTATGCTAGAAACTTGATTTCTTTTTAGCTTTATCTTATCGAGTCATTCATGCTACTTATCTTCAGGACTATCCTCGTTTTCACATTGAAGTGAATCGAATTAGTTAGTAGTCGTACGCGTCTTTTTACGTGCTAGGAACTTCTCTCTGTTCTCTGCTGTAGACAATTTTAACACTCTTGAAGGATGACAATGGGCGATGAAACTCCAGTTACATCACTTGTTCTCCCTGTAATATTACGACCCATATTGGCAAAGGTACTAAGCAGTTATTACTTAATTAAAAAATGGAATAGAGTGAGTCATTTTTGTTGGTGCTTCTGTTGCAGTTGGAAAGACAGAATGTTGTTGCAGCCCAAACTCTTCGGACAGCTTTGTCAAAAGCTGAAAGTACTCATCCCGGTATTACATATGATTTAGTTTTAGGCATAGTACGCCGTGCTGATCTCAATTTAGATATGAATGAGAGCGTATTGCGTTTGCAAGGCACAGCATCCGATTTTGATGGTAATGTTTACTGCATATGACCTTTGTATAAAACTTATTTTAATAATTATTTGCATTCTATTTACTCAGTGGTGGAATATCGATCAGCAAGGTCAGAGGATGCTTTTCAGGAACTTAACAGAAAATCTGCGTCACTCAAGAGGATACTTAGTAGAATTCCTGATGAGATAACAGATCGTAAAACCTTCCTTGAGACTATTAAGTATGTGTAGTATAAAAGTAGTTAAATGCTTTACATTTAAGTGATTTTTAATCTATGTTTGACTTTTCAAGGGAAATTGCCAGTGCTATTAAAAAGCTTTTAGATGCTGTTAACGAAGTGACAGGATTCATTCCAGGATCTGCAGGGAAACAGGCCCTTGACCAGCGTAAAAGAGAGTTTGTTAAATACAGTAAAAGATTTAGTAATACATTAAAGGAGTTTTTCAAAGAAGGACAGTAAGTACCATTTAATATGCTACTACCCTTTAGTCAATGATCAGTGAACTGTTTATTCATTGGTATTCCATCTTTTAGTTGCATTCAGACTTTTTAAAGTGCACCATTGAATTTTTATGATCAATTATTAACAATAATTAAATATATGGATAGTTGTATCAAATAGAAATATTTTTTTCATACAAATATATAAATAAGAATATATTATATTAATGTGTTTTCATATTATAGAGCAAATGCAGTATTCGTGAGCGCATTATACTTGATACATCAGACAAATATGATAATGGTGACTGTAAAGGATAAATGCGAGTAATTAAGAATGTAAGTCTATATAATATAAGAAAGAACAAGGGATATAAATGGTCGATAAATTACTATGTGGAAAATACATGTTTCAATGGGTTTCTTTCGATATGATGGCTGTTAAGCCAAAGCACCCTTTTTCTTGTTTACGATCGTATAACATTAGGTCGCGTATAACAGTATTATATCAAATTAAATAACAATACCATAAAACTAAGAAACACTATTATTTTGCGCTGTAAGTAAAAGAAATAAAAATTACTTAATTGACAATTGTACACAATTACGTTGTTTTATTCATATATGGAAAAGTTGTATGATTTGATTATCTACGTCCGACGATATTATTGAGGATTGGCGAGTAAGAAAAGGTTCCCAAACGAATGGATATTGTGAAGAACAATATTATTGCAAGAGTTCACGCCCTTTTACTATCTGAAAATACTCGTACAATACTTCCAATTCCACTGACGTTGTAGACCTTCTCGTGCCAAGCCAACAAATGTCCACTGCTTCCTTCCGAAGGTATTTCAAAACCACGGTATATGTACTTCATCAATACATCTATCAAGTCACGATCTAATTGTGTTAAGCAATCATCTATTTGACTGGATTTTATGCTCAGTAGTACTTTTAAGGTAAGATTTCTTGCACTGTCCTGAAAATAAATGTAATTTGAACAAATTAATTATAAACGTCTATTAAGAAGTTTCCTACAGTATTATTATGCATGCAAACTATGTACTATGTTTATGATCTAATTCTTAATACAGAATATTGCAGTAGATGGTAATATTATAGGTTACCTTTGTCTGTTGATTTCTACAGCCAAGTGGTGCGGATTTGAGTACAGAAATAAGAGCCTCGACATTCTTACCCTTGAAAATACTGTTAAGGAAAGTAAATGCTAACTAATATACAATATAAAATAAGCAATCACGAAACGCAAAGAGATAACGAGTGAGCAAAATTAAGTGAAAAGGATATTGAGTAAGTAGTGTGAGAATTTCGTTCTCATCCGGTCCTGTTGGTGCGGTGGAACCTCCATCGCCATCTTCCTCCTTAAAATTATTCTCGTTGTACTGATCAACGTCAATTTTACGAAAACCCGACCCCGAAGTGTCCTCGTTGTTTCTTGACATTTTGATTTCGTACCTGACGTTTCTCTTGGATCACGCCCGGTTGTGCGTTCAGCGTTAATAAAACGATCCACTAAGTTCCGGTCAGGATGACTAAAGATAAAGATGCGTTCCACAAATTATATCTTTGCTACCTCCTATTTCAATAATATGTAGTTTATTTTCATGAAAGCGACCCATTTTATTCATTAGCTTGTTCGTCTTGTGGTTTTTAAGGGTTTGGACAAGCTTTGAAGCACTATAGGTGGGTTCAAAAATAAGCAATGCTCTAAAGGAAACCGCAAGAATGAACAAGCCAAATACATATTCCTCAATGGAATTTGTCATTTATAATAGCGACTTATACGGAATCGCTGATGATACAGCATGATTGAAAATTTACAATGTACCACTCTGCATTGTTGTATAGAAAAAAAATAGATAAATATAACCTTCAAATAAAATACAATAATCTCAATACCGAGAAATATTTATATTTATCATCTGTTTATTAGTTCCCGACTGTTCGGCTATTTGATTTCTTCAAGTGCAGTGCATATAATCAGTAGTACATAATCATAGCGCCTCTAGAGCCTATAATAATGTTTTATGATCCTCAGTCACATTTCTTATATTTCAATGTCATGAAAAGTGCGTACCTATATACAGTTATTTTATAACGAAAATCATTAATTGCTTATCATATGTTCAGCCGCGCTATCATTTGATGTGTGTTAAAAATACAGTTAAAAGACGATATACCCGCCATCTGACACTTTTCGTCGAAAACCAATAAACAAAGAGTCAGTGTAAAATAGTGACCGGCCGTTCATCGTGGTCCGAGCCCGTGAACGCTCGAGAACCGTTCGCAGGGCTATGATATCCGTGTAAAATGTCGAAGTCTGACGGAGTAGGTCTTTAGCGGGAGTTCAAGGGGTAAAAATATTGTATTGAAGAAAACGAAGGTAAGAATAAATTGTGATATGATATTCTGTAAGTGAAATTAGCATCCCTTCCAGGATCATCCCGGTGTTTCCCGATTCCTCTAATACGAGTGGTACGATGCGACGTTTGCCGCTGATACTCTCTTCTCTCGTTCTCTATTCCCATTTGGTGTCTGCTTAAGCAAATACGCGTTGACCAACATCCGATATCTACTTTATTACGCATTATATCCATCTTCAATCTTTACATTAGGATATTCCTGCTCGATCCCAAAGGACCGCTCGATACTGCGTTCTGACTCCTAGAGAGTTAACTTTTTTTTCCCCTTTATATGCTACTGGGTCGAGAATGTAATTTTCTTCGTGAGAGATTTATTAAATCTTTTCCTTGAATATTTCATATATACTATATCCCTCCTATGTCCGATCGACATCTCGGGATACGTTAGGTAATTGTCTTTTGCGCAATTCCCACCTACGGATATCTTGTACGACTCTGACGGCCGACGAGTATAACAATTTTGCATGTGGATGAAATTACTTTGTTTCTGTAAACAAGGGATTGTTTTCTATTCTTGTTCTTTTTATTATTACATGTTTTATGCAGTGCTATTATCTGTGAGATCTGGGAGCAGATGTAGTATATTTTATATTGCAAACTATCATTTTCTTTTTTTAGCTTTGCATATTTGATTTGTATCAGTGTGGTTGTATTATGATAGTGTATTATTGTTTTTGAAAAAAATATCTGAAGTATAATGAAATATTTTATTCATTCAATAATGTAGTCTGTATAGGAATAAATGTTATTTTTATTTCCTTTTGTATAAGTTTTTATACATTGCATTGTAGTAAAAGATATTAGTGACAATAAGCTTAATGTTGCTTTAAAAATAAATATATCATGCGTTACATTACTCTCATTCTTTTAATAGGTGGACAAACAACATTCCGTATTTTAAGAATGATATGTTTATAGTGTTATGGTCTATGAGAATATTACCCTTTTATATTTTATATGACATAAAACATTAAGAAATTTGTTTATTCATATATTTAGTTCATTGTCATTCTGTTAAAGTGGATTATCTTAATAATTGATAGACATCATTTTTATTATTTGTCAGGATTATTAATTATTATTGTATCAGTAGCTTCTTATTCTTTCCTTATGTTATAACACTTAATATCACTTTTGTACCATGGAATGCAATACATATATTATCTGTCTTGTTGCACATTGCACTTTATCTCCTTTGTCTTATCTGTCTGTCATGTTGCTGACTAAGTGCAATGCATCTCTTTTACCACCTTATTTTCCTATAAGTTTCTTAGTGGCAGTGGGAGTACAATTGACTCATTTTTACAATTGTGTCCATCAATATATGTGTATCGTAAAACATTTATGCTTGTACAAAAAAAGTACTATCATAGTAGCTCTATATTTGTGTACATCTGATAAATGACAATTCTGTCTTACTCTAAAACCCATTGGGACATCTTTAAATCTTTTCTTAAAATTATACAGGGTTTTGGGATATTTGAATATTTTTTTTTACACAGGAAAGAGATCAAGCAAACTAAATGGGGAAAATCAAGAAAAAACCACATTTGGTCCACTGCACTGGTTCACGCAATGTTTTGCGTAACTTGATGCTCCGTGATTTTGGCTTGCACACTACGCACAAGACGAGTACACGTGAATTCGAACCTATTGCTGAGACGAACTTGGTTCTTAAGGATCATAAGGAATTGGTATGTTTTGAAATAAAATTGTACTGGACAAGAAAATTGATACCAATTTATAAATTCTTGGAATATTTCTTATAACGAGGAACAGTACATAGTATAATTTATCAGGAATACTAGCTAGTCACAAAAATCACTGGTAGTCTTAACAATTTCATTCTATTGTTATTTGTTTCAGAAATGCGATCTACCTGGTGTACCCAAGGCATCGTTTCTCATGGTTTTCAGTCCTGATGGGTAATTATTATACCAGATAATTTTGTATCACATAAATATTACATGAAAATATTAAATTAAATAAATCTTGTTTTTTAATCAGGACTAAAGTTGCATCCACCCATGGAAATCACAATGTTTATATAACAGATCTCACAACGGGAAAGAATATTCGTACACTGTCGGGTCATCCTCGTACTCCATGGTGTATAGCCTTCCATCCCTCGTCGAGTGAGATCTTAGCTTCAGGATGTCTTGGTGGGCAAGTTCGTGTCTGGGACCTTAGCGTAAGTGCTGTACAAGAGGATCTAAAAGTTCATACGAGTTACGTTTGGCCACTGACAGGAGAGTCATATTCCAGATTTTTTTGCACAGGGTGGTAGCGAGGTTTGGAATACAGAAAGTCAAACCGTAATCGCCTCATTGGCGTTTCATCCATCTGAGAGACTTCTGGTTATTGCAACGTACAATGAAGTTCACTTCTGGGACTGGAGTCAGTCTGAGCCTTTTGCAGTAGTAACCACTAGAAATGACAAGGAGAAAGTGAGGTACGTGCGTGCATAACGTTCCGTTTAACTAACGGTAATAATAATTACACGAGAAAAATCATCAATACTATTTACTTATTATTTGAATTTTAGATACGTGGCTTTTGATAATATGGGACGAAAATTAATAACTGGTATTGCTAATGCACCACAGATGCAATCACAATGGGATCGACCTCCTATCGAGCAGCCATTTCGAACTTTTATTCGGTATAAATGAAATATGTGTATTTTTGTAAACTAATAATTCGAAAACATGGAACATATTAATAATGTTGTCATTTTAGATTGGCTCGTGAACGATCTCAGGATCTGGATAGGTTTCCACGTCTAAATCAAGGCGTGATTTATGGTGGACGATGGCGCGACAATTATAATGACAGAAGTACACGAAGAATGGAGTACAGAATGCATCGTAGGAATGCATTTACGGAAATTAGACATTCTATCAGGAGCGAACTCAGTCGACAAGATCGAGAGCAGAGAAGTCGTTTTTGGTACATTTTTCATAAATTTTAAAGTATTTAAATGGGTTTGGGGTGTACTTCATAATCTCGAAATGAAAAATTGTGAATTATAGGATTTAAATAGGTAATTCGTATTCAACCAAAATGCACTCATATTTGTAAGTTACATAATGGTTCATGTTATATTTTGTAATAATTCGAAAACGAGAACGGAAGGCTTACACAGTTTTTTGGACAAGTTTTTGTTGAAACTTTACATGTTTTTTTATGCATATAATTCTCCATTAATTCTCATAATAGTATCAGATCAACAATTGCAGAATTTACGAAAATATGGTCACTCCATTTTAACGAAGATAAAGTATGAACGTTTTGTTGATTATAATTTTCGTAAATGAGTCTAAAAACAGCATTTAGGCTCCCTATTTCGTTTGAAACATGTTTTTTTCTATTTCAATATCGAGGCTGCTCAGATGATTTTCAGATATGCCGCTTGCGTATATTACCAAAGGCCAGGATTGCAGATTATTTGCATAGTTTTATAATTAATATGTACGATCCTAGAATAATTATGCGCTAGGTCTCCTGCACCGAGTGCAATTCGGCGCAGCGGAATGCTACAGGAGCCATCGATGCAGGTTGGCAACGTGACATCTCAGGTGAGGCGCAATACCTATACATCCCCCAGCGAAAACCGGGTAGATGATCCATACTTCTTTCGATGTTCACGTACGACTGGGGAACCATCGGTGAGAGAATCGAGAAGTCAAATTGCGCCCAGACTTCGTGATCAATCGACTTCCTCGAGCAATTCAATCATCGAAGAGCAACGCAATGGGATTTCGACAAATGTAGAGCAAGACCAAAATAATTTATTTCCTAGAACCAATCTAGATCGACAAATAGATAATATTTGGAACGTGATAAACGAGAGGATCGAAAGAGTTAATACACAAGATACCGAACGTAGGATCAACCTGTGTTACAGGGGCCTGGTGCATCAGTGTGAAGCCCTCGCAATGCGGTACTATCCGCTTTCCTGGAGGCTGAATAGGGTCAGTGTTAAGAAATTTTATTTGTAGGATATAACAAAACAAAGCTTTGGGTGTATTTCAGAGCTTTGAATTTTATGCTCAGAAAAATATCACACTAATATATTAATTTCTATAACTTGTAAAATTATTTTTGGATTTCGATCTTAATCTTGCTAAACAAATTTTTAAGACAATGATTGTATACTGTGTCCAGGTTGATCGTGAACCCAATCCAATGAATCCGAATCAATCGAGGAATCGATCCAATGAGCCTGAATCATCTGCAGTGCAGGAGGAACATTCCGACACTGATAGGAATGAGCCCGCTGCCGAATCGTCCATAGGAAGACTAAGGAATACCTTGAGTGGCAGTGGTCAGGCCAATAGTGACAGTTTGGAGAGATTGCAGCGACGTCCGCATCAACTGATTAATCGTGCCCAGGAACAGGAGATTTCTGCTGCTCTCGAAAACCTCTTTAGCGTTTTGAGTGGTACTGCTAGCAGTAACAGTTGCTGTTTGGCGCAATTGCAGAAGTTACGCGAACGTCTTCAGAGGTACACCACCAGGGTGTTCGCCAATTCGAATATCCAGAACACGAGGATTCAAACTCTGACGAATGCTCTGAATCAGGAAATCGAGGCGCTCAATAATATGGAGACGCGGTTCACGACGACCAGGTCCAGGATCCAACGTCTACGAGATGGAGTTAAACTGTAGGGTTTACTTCGGCAAATTAGACGAGTCTCGTTGGATGAAAATTAATTCCCTCAACGACCTTTATTCAGGTCGAACCATGAGCAGTCTACAAGTTCTGGGCTTCCTGGATATACTGATCAAAATACTGGTGTAGGACAACAAACTTCTAGTACAGCTGCTGCTGGTTCGTCGAGGACTCCAGACCCTTTCGCCTCTGTTACCTTTGCCATGGATCCTAGTACAGACGATATCAGAATCGCTGGAATTCGCGAGGGTACGAGTACATCTAGTCCAGGAAGTAGCAGAACTCAGGGTACCTTTAGATCAAACAGAAGAAGATCTGAAGCTGTTGATGCCGAGGATGAGCCACCGAGGAGACGCCGACGACACGAAGGTTCGCACATTTGGTATCCAAGTTACAACGCTAACATACGTAACTGGATTGAAATTCATAGTAAGTCTTGTAATGATTTTGTAGTCACAAGGATTAATAATTAGTGTTACCCTTTCCCACTATTTTTAGATGAAAGTTCGCCCTCTAGCGATGAAGGATATTCTGTTAGTACGTCGCATCCTGGTACATCAAATTTTACAGTTTCTTCTCGTTCTGCCTTTCAACCAAGCCTACCAAGCCTACCAAATTTTATGACATTGAACGATATGAGCGGCCGGCTTTCTTGCTTGAATAATACAAGTCGAAGATTCATCAGAAGTATTAGGAACCGTACCCAAGAGATATCTCAAGAGGTCAGAAGAGTTCTAGATTTCTTTCAAAGGCACGTCAATCCACAATCTAATGAGGGTGTAGAGAACTCTCAAGAAGAACCTCTGGATGATGAAAATGCTGGGGAACAATCGGAAAGCGGATATTGGCTACTTGAAGAAAACAGCAATTCCGACTCGAATCACGACGAACCAAATCCAAATTCTAATTCAGAATCTAGAAGATGGACTAGTCGATGGATACGTTTAAACTCTTCAAATAGGAATTCTGAAACTTCGAATGATAATCTATCTACTGATCATGGAAGACCACGCTCACCTGCCAACCGATCTGAACCAAGAAACTTCTCTAGGATAAGATTACCAGGATCTCCTAATGACAGGAACCAACTATCTCCAGTTTCTATAAACTCTACTAGGTATGAGCAACCGCCATTGTTTCCCTTCAGAAGTTTGCGAGAAAATCAGACCAGAAGAGAGGAACAGAATCAATCTGACTTGTTGCGTGCTCAAAACAGTGCGGAACCAATTGGAGAAATTCTAGACAGTATTCCTGAGGCCATAATTGAGATCCCCTCCATAAGTGGAGACGTGCCTGAAATTGCTAACGTGCAGAATATCACCAGTTCACTAAATCAAATATCAGTGAATAATCTAGAACAAAGTAGAGGTCTGGAGAACGCAGAGTATAATTGTGGATTTGGTTATGAAGACGGTGCTGATGATGGGAATCCCGACAGAGTTGGTGACGAAGAAGGTTTCCGAGGATGGAGAGTATGCCCTCTCAGACAGAATGAAAGTCATTCCGATGACTTGGTTAGTCGACAAGAACTAATCTTATTATGTCGCCATATAGCCAATATGCAACGACTTTGTAGGTTCGTAAAATATGTTTTATTGTTTTGCAACTTTAATACCAACGTTATGATCAATGTTCAATAGTGTATCACATTATAATTTGCCGTGATTCTATTTGTTACAGGGCTAGATTGGAAATCGTACAACTGCAGCAGGTACGTAGAATGTGGGAAGATCTGCGACGTCAGATAAGACGTCTTCACGTAACGGTTATAATCGAAAGAGAGAGTGATCAATCTCAACCAGGAACTAGTACGGATGGTGCGGTTCCATCGACCTCGACACAAAACATTTCCACAGAGTCTCATATCGAACCAGCTAAAAATTTTAAAAAGGCTCTCTTGGAAATTTATAAAAGAACCAATAGCGAGACCGATAATGAACCTAAAAACGACCACAACCAACCGTCGACCTCGAGAGGTACAACGTCATCCGGAGGTCAAAAGACAGGAAAATCATCATCAAAGAGTTCATCGCGTCAATTGGACGAGACCTCGACTAACATAAGCCTATCAAATCTACTGCCAAGTAAGTCCGAACTTAAACGTATGGGACCACACAACATTTATCAAACTCTCCATAGTCTCTATTCGTATTGTCCCACTGATAATTCACAATCAGCCTCAACTTCGAATGCCACTAGTGATCATACTTATTCCAATCTGACAACCAATAATAATAACAACATGCAACTGCCAAGTATATCTAGCCTGGTGTCGGACATTGCTGGTAGTTTGAATCTACCAGGAAACAGTGGAACGACACAGAGCGCGCAGTTGCCGGGAATATCAAATTTGGTGAACAGTCTAGCAGGAAGTTCAGGATCAGCTAGGACTACTCAAATCCCAATAATATCAGGTTTGGTTTATTCAAACAATCCCAATAACAGTAATAATCCATCGGGAAATTCCAACACACAAAACTCAGCAAGTCAATCAGAAAGCTCGACCTCTGCAACGTCACCAGAGTCTCCGAATGATAATTCGAATTTAAGAAGAGAACAGTATACTTATCAAAAATGGAGGTGCAGTAGAAGGATGCATTTGAAACGTACAAGGCTACCTACTATGAATCCGCGAAACATGTCGCGATCACGGGTACGATTAATAAATAATTATTTTCGAAATTATGAACATGCCAGAAGGTACTGGTGTCTTGATAGAAATTCATCGAGCAGTGGTAATAACGCTAGTGGTGATAATAACCCTAGTGGCGATAATAATGCTAGCGTTAATAATACTAGTGGTAACGCTAGTGGCAATCCTAGTGGTAGTCCTAGTGACAATCCTAGTGGCAATGGCAGTAATGGTAATGGTAATGCTAATAGCGGTGGCAATGGTAACGTCAGTACTAGCAACAATATCACCACAGAAAGAAATCGTGTGCAAACAACCACAGAATCGTTACAAGCTATGATTGTCAGATTGGAGGCGCTGGTAAAGCAGCAAAGAGCCCTGGCCAGGAATGAGTCCGGCAGAGGATCTGATAGTGACAGTCAAACCGAGAATATCAGAGAGAATAATGACAATTTTGAAATGGAAAGAGTACGAGAGGTGAACAGGCTGAAAGCTAGAAATGTTCTGAGTCTTATGGTGGAAAGTCTGACACAATTCTTTGAAGAAATACGACCTGTGAATGGTTCTCACAGCAATGTACTCTACGACCAAATCTGTAAGATGTACATTTTACTTCATTTGGCATTGGAGTTGACTGATCTTCTTTTGGCCCAATTAGTCACGACTACAAGGGAATTAGAATTAAGTAAATATGGACCACTGAGATCTGCTTTATTAGTGCAAAATCAAAATGGAGCAGATGAACGACGTAATAGAAATGTTGATAATCCTCAAACTGAAGCTAATCGTCCTAGTAGTAGTAACAGTAGTAATGTTACAGTATCACCAGGAAACGAACGACGTCGTCACTCCAGAAATCTTGGAGCTGGTGCAAGTACCAGTGCTGCAAGTGACATACAACTAGAAGACGCAGAAGATCCTCTGTCTACACAGAGTACTAGGTACTACCACAACATGGATGAAACGTTGAAAAGATGGCTTGATTATCCTATGAACTTAGATGAACACCTCAGAAACAATTCGACGAGTGAAGCGCAGCAGCAGACTTCGGAGCAAACGGCTCCAGTGGATAATCCTTTGGACAGTAATTCATTTAACGTGGATTCCGAGAATGAGGAGACTCGACAGTCGAATGCCATGGCTGGACACATCTCCTCAGAGAGTGCACTCTCTGCTGAGGTTCAGAGTATCGTTCAGAGAATTCACAATAGTCGAAGCATTGATGAAGATGAACGTCGCTTGAACAGGCCAGCTTCCGATGTTCAGTTAGAGAGTAACATTGGGACTGAAGATGATGTCGAGAGCCAACGAGACTTGGCTGCCGGTAGTAATGATTCTCTAAGAGACAGATTAAATCGCGACATGATGTCGAGGGCGTTCGAATTTCCTTTGACGCGTGGAAGACCTTACATCGAGCTGAACAGAGAACAACAGTCACAGGATAATGAATTCTTAACTGTTCATAGAAATGCTTCTGGAAGAGATAGAATGGATCTCGAAAGGATTTTCAGACCGTTTGAAATAGACTGGGAAAGTATTTTGAGACCGCTCTATACAGATTTAGAAAGAATTGCGAGACCTTACGATGATATACTTGGAAGACCAAACGCAGAGTCTAGCAGAGAACAACAGTCCCAAGAAAACGATTTCCGAAGTGATCGCAACAATTATGAAAATGATGTTGAAGATCGAGATACGGCTACACATAGAAACGATTCTAGAGATGATGGGACAGATTTCTTCAGGCTTACAAGACCATCTGAGGGGCCTCCTGCAGCTGGAAGATCTCAAATGGAATCCAGTAGAGAACAACAATCACAGCAAAATGATTTCAGAAATGGCCGCAGCAATTATGAACTTAACCGAATTCAGTTTCAAAGATCACTTATTTCTGCTACAATAACCAGAGGGCTGACATCAACATCGCTTCGTGCAGCAGAACGAATTTCATCTGGAGCATCAGGTTATAGAGTAGTACCAGGAGGAAATTTGGCCTCGAGATTGAGCTATATGAATTATATAAGACAACTTCTTCAGAACCGTGAAAATGTCACCAGGAGGCGTGAATTAAGTGTACCCGTGGTACAAGTGAATAACGTCCCAGTGAATGACTTCAATAATTTGTCCGGAAATTCAAGAAGGAGACCAAGCATTCGTCCTACACCTCCCCATACACCACCGCCCTATTTAATCAATAGTTTCTTAAATAATATCACAAGAGGAAGTGGTGGTCACCCAAGTGATTTTAACGATCAGCCAGGACCAAGTTCTTCCCAGTCTAACAACAGAGATCAGGTAAGTCAAGCTACATTGTGGCTTCTACTCTATTAGAATAGGAGTGCTGATAAAGGAGTATTATGCTATTTCGATCAGGATTTGAGCGGACATCAGAACTTCTCCTCACAGGTTCGCAGATGGTTCATAGCTCACCGATTCTTGAATCCACGATTTGGTATCTTTGGAGGAGCTAATGGGCCAGGAAGTGGCGGTAATGGTGGCGGCGGCGGTGGCAGTGGTGGTCCTGGTGGTCCTAGTGGTCCTAGTGGTCCTGGAGGTCCTGGAGGTCCTGGAGGTCATAGTGGTGGAAGTCCTGGGGGTGGACCAGATCCTGTCAATGACGATAGCGACGATGTCGGACTACGAGGTACTTAACGAGCCTTTTCTTTAATAATTAGCATTCCGATATTTTTACACTTTCTTACAGATCATGTTCCAGTGAGTCCATTAATGGCGACTTTTAATGGTCTCGAAATTCAAAGTCATCGTGTACAGGCTTGGGACTTTTCTCAGGGTGAAATTCCAGACATTACTGATCGTAAATATTCTATTCTCGTTAACCATCAAAATATATTTGTAATAAGTTTTGAGAGATTTATATTCAATTTTTTACACTTTTTCTAGCTGAGAAAAATGTTGTAGTACGTGAATGCAAAATTCACAATGACGCAAGCGTGGATATATCATCAGACGGCAAGTTACTCGTTACGTTACTTCCCTTTGGCAGGCTTAGTGTATCCACAACAGTAGGTAAGTATGTTCTTGAATTTAGTAAAAATAATTACCACATTATCAGGCCCTATAAATCCAAATACTAATAACAAATTTTGCAGGTGTATACAGTCTACAATGGGAAAATCTTGGTGAAAGAATTTACTCGACGAAAATCGATCAGACAGTGGTGTCTGTGTCAATGTCTCCTACGAGGCAGCATCTCTTGGTAGGGCTGGCATCGCGTAGAATTCACATAGCGACTCGACCGTTACCAATGGCCCTGATATTCAAACTAGTTGACAAAGAACCTGAGGAAGATATGAAGTGCAACATAGAACAGTCGAATCCGCGTTATTTGAATCCATTCGATTCAGCTGATGCGTATGATCGAAGGGCTGACGATTTAATCCATAGTATGGATAATTATTTAAACAATATAAGACAGGCTGATGGTCCCGATGATGATAGAAATAATGATCAGGATTGGAGGAATCGAAGCGCAAGGACAGAAGCTGACATTAAGGACAACAAGAAGAGCATGGTTTTACTGCGAGAACTAGTTCATAATAATCAGGAAACTACTGGGTATGTCAGTTTAAATTGTATAAGATGGGCTCCGCAGCCTGGTCAAGGTATGGTCTATGCAACTAATACCGGTCAATTGAATATTCTTCACTGATGTGATTCCTTTTGATGAGTATTGAAATAGAAATTTGAATGAGCTGCAAACAATCTAATCTCAAATTAATCAGAACTCATTGAAATAAAGAAAACTTTACTGGCGAGAAACGTAGAGGCTTTGCGTAAAGACATTTTCCTAATGGATATACATATATAAATATATATAAATACAAAAATATACTAAATCGTATTGACTTTTCGAGACTACGATAAAATGTCGCTTAATGTTTCTCAGAATTTATTTCTTTTTTCTTCTCCCTTTCGTTCGTACTCTCTTCATGTCTCATTACTTAACTTGATTTGCCAAAAAACTGGAGTGAACATTTACATTTGTATCTTTACTCAACATTCATTAAGACTTTTGTTTATTTATTTAGTTCTGTTTTTTCGCACGATCTTTTTCTCAGTTTACTGTAACAAATTTTTTTGTTCTTTACAATTTTATTTTTTTACGGGAGGATAAGGGTGCACTGCGTGATGTGTGTAAATACTTTTGCTTCATGCGAAAAACCGTGCGGCATGCATATAGGATCTTATGAAAATTGTTACGTTTAAGTTTGAGGATTTGTAAAACAAAAAAAAGAATGATGGAAGCAAAGGTGCTTAGCCACTCGGATCACACGTAAAAATACGTACACGCAATTATGCATCTACACGGAGATAAATAGCTGTAGAGGTACGTGTGTGATTTAATATATTAATGTGCATAATTTGTAAGATTTTTCTATTTGTATTATTTAAATATTAACGCTTAAACACAACTGTAACGTGCATATTCATACGTCCATACGCGTGCATTCATTATTTTTAATACCAGACTGAATTTCTAATTAACGATCTGAGTATTATTTTAATCACAAATGAGCGACAAACTTTGTAGAAATTTATTATCGAGAGCGCAGTCGGATTGTACGTACGATCACAGAATCTTATGTCGACGTAGCTAATCAGTGCCAACATATTATCAGACATTGTATTGTATATGGAATATTTATCGTGCATACGTATGTAAAAAATGACGTAAGTTTATAAAATTATGAAGAAAACGAAAAGTTTATTTCGAATTCGGTAAATGCATCCGGGGATATGCAATGCCTCTCTGTATAAGAGAATTATAGCATTTGAAGTTTTTTGTTCCCTGTTTTAATTTGTGCCATCTAAACATTTCTTTTCGCCTGTCTTACTTCTCATTTTTTTCCGTGTTATTAAATGTAATCATTTTAATTCGTTCGATGACTCATTTCATATTTCACATTATTCAAACACTAGCATTCACACTTGTTTAGCTTACTCTGTACTATCGATGTAGAATAAAAGAAACAATGTTAATCCAATTTAGCTGCGACAACTTTTTATAGTGTCATAGTAAAAAATTTGTAACTTGTGTCTCATACATGACCATATAAAATTATTTTAGAACCTTTTTTTTTTAATAATTCATATTTCTATGAGGCATTATGTATGCGCAAAGAAAAGACAATGATAAAATAAGACTGGCAATCGGATCCATTGAATGAGTAATGTGTGGATTAAATTCTTAAGCAAAAGGGAAAGGATGGGCTTGGCGTTAATGGAAAGTGCCAATAAATCCTTTAAATAAATTTTTGTTCTTCACAATGCGTGTAGACACTTAAGCAAAGCCTGATGTTTCGTATATATCATGAAAAACTATTTCTCTTAACTGAGCAATTGAAAACACTTACGCCCCAAATTCATGTTATTAATCAAATAATATATTTACAATTGTCACTAGCGGTGACTCAAGTGGAGCGTAGATTTAATTATTGTAAATGTGAAGGTTCAATTTGTATGAGATTTGAACTCGTTCTATCAGTCTGACGTGTATAAAGTGGTAGTGGAGGGACTAAGAAGAAAATGTTACAGAGATACATAAATAATGAAAAAATGAAGTAAAAGAGATGGACGTCGAAAACTAATCTGAATGGATGTCATTATGAATTTTATTTAGACAATGAATTCATGTTAATTGATGTAATTGTTGTGACGTCCGTCCCTTTAGTTTTCTTTCCTAACTCCATATAATTTATAGATATATTCGAACATGAACATACTTTTTGTGTCAAGTGATATTAAAAGCAGTGAAAATGAACATGAGTCTTTTGTAGAATAAAATTATGGATATCAGTGAAAAGGATTCTATTATTTCCCTTAAGTACAAAGTAATAGGTATTTTCTGAAAAAAGAAAAACGGCTTAGTGCTTGTTGAAGATAATTCATTTATTTATGGAGATTTAACTTACATCTAAACAGTAGAGCAGTGATTAAGTCTAATATGGTTTATGATTAATATAATTCATTACTGCTTAACTAACGTGTCTAATCATCATACAATAAACTGTGTAAAAGTTCCGGTGTTTCCGGTTGTTTTAGACACAATGAGACTTTTTCCTGTGTAGCGCTCTGATACTTATTACGTTCTAATTGACTTAAATCCTGATCCAACATTGTCTCAATTTCGTCATCAATATAGATGGGATTCTCGTATGGTTTATTTAAGTATGAAGAACCAGGATCGCTTGAATTTATTGTTTCATTTATGGTTTTTTGTATTTCACTTTCAGTTATGTACATTGATTGAAAATTGTTTAATGATCCAGTCGCAGCGACCTCTCTCTCATGCTGTCTCACAAGAGGATGAGCTGTATGTTCTCTTTGTTCATTCATAGAGCAAATAATCTGCTGACACTTGACCTGGTGCAACTTCAAATTGCTTGTTTGTGAAAATGTTCGATCACAAAGGTTACAACGAAAAGGCCTTTCACCTGTATGACACCTTGCATGTCTTTGTAATTTATATTTTGTGGCAAATAACTTTCCACACTCAGAACAGATAAGTGAACGGCTATGCACTAGTAAGGCTTGACTATTCATTGCTGTTCTGTCTGCATCTGTGTGAAAATTTATTAAATGAGATTTTAATGATACTTTATAGCGAAATGATTGATGGCAATTAGCACATTGATACTGTCTTTTGCCTGCATGACTTTCTTTGTGCTTTGTCAAGATTTCTTGCTGGTTAAAGGACATTCTGCATATCTGAAAATGCAGATACTATATGAGTTGATACTTGTGTCATATAGTAAATTTATAATACATACATCGCAAACAAAAGGTCGCAGACCCGTGTGGATACGTTTGTGCCTTATTACATGTGCTGGACATCGAAATGTTTTCGAACATATGTGGCAACCATATTTTCGTTTTTGTGGTACTGATAAGTCCGTTTTTTTTATTAGGTCATTTTCTTTCAAATGGCACAGCATATCCTAAAAAACATTTACAAAAGCATTAAATTCTTAAATGCAGAACTATTACTGCATTATAATGGCACCTTTATAACTGACTGAACATATTTTACAGTAATATTGAACTGTTTTAACTATGGTTTCTTAAAAATAAGAGTAATACCTCAGCAAAATCGATTTCCAAAGAAGGAGCAGTCAGCTGCTTTTGTACATTAGCTACCATAAGACAAAATTCATCAAACATACATATTTTCTGTTCGCATTCAAAACACACGAACTTTGAGAAGCCATCTGTTGATGATATAATAATAACCTAGAAAAACAGATATTCTGTATATTTCTAAGACCTACTTTAATTTCCATAAACAGTATCAGTAATCTATTGCGTACCTCTTTCGAAAAATATTTATTTATAATAGAGATAAGCACGGCTCCTTTAATTTTATCCTTGAAAACGTCGGTTCCCTGCTGTTTTTCCTTACCACACAATCTGCACAGTCTCATGCTCACTTTATGAAGCATCATTTTAAAGAAAAACACTTGAGTCCCGCACAAAATTGAATCTGCAAGAAACTGCCGTATTCATATATTTATGTATGTATGTACATACATACACCTGCAACCAGGCACAACTGTCAATAGCACGGTGTCTCGAGTCTAAGCCATAGAAAATATAGGCTTAGTTTCCACCGTACAGAATTTAAATAGAGTTAACCAATCAGGTATAGGAGTTGAATGGAATTAACCAATAAGGCTGCTTAACTCTATTCAAACTCTGCACGGTGGAAACTAAGCCATAGAGAAGACAGATGTCAAAGAAGACTTATGCGACTTACCCGCGAATTTTGATTTACACACGGCTCGTAGGTCGAATGAATGGAGAAATCAATTATGCATAATCTGTAAGTCGAAGGAATCGCTTTAGCAATAATTATCATTAAAACAGGAAGTGAGGTTACAAAGGTTATATTTTCAAAGTTGCCCGAATCTGGGTTCTAATTAATAGTGTCGGCTTCCACCACCACGTGAAACATAAGTGTTCTAAATTAAACAAACGATGATTGGCTGGATAACCAATGGGAAGAAGGAAGAAGTTAGATGTCGACAAGAAACTGTCACTAACTGTCATCATCGAGGATATAAGTATGTTAGTAAAAAGAGTCAGCTTTTTTTGTTAGATCTAGCCCGTTCGTTACAAGAGCTTTCAGCAAGTCTTGCGTCAATCACTCTTACATTTTTTAGTACGGCTCTATCTTTTTATAATATTTTATAATTCAATTTCTTTTCATAAAGATTTGCTCAACATTGCATATGTTTCTACCGTGTAGGGTTGAAATAGAGTTAACCAATTATAAACGAGATTTGAGTGGAATAAGCTAACTTGATTGGTTAACTCTATTTCAACCCTGCATGGTGGAAACATATGCATATATGGATAGATGAATAAAGTTATTTGAAACGAGATTTGAGTAAAGATTTGCTCAACATTGCATATGTTTCTACCGTGTAGGGTTGAAATAGAGTTAACCAATTATAAACGAGATTTGAGTGGAATAAGCTAACTTGATTGGTTAACTCTATTTCAACCCTGCATGGTGGAAACATATGCATATATGGATAGATGAATAAAGTTATTTGATTATGGAGCATTAGACATAAAAAACATGTCACCTTCTTCAGCTCCCTAAAATTAGCCCCACATCATGACCATTCAAACTCATTTTTTTCGCTATCGTTTTTTGGTCGTTTGTCAGTGAATGGTGGACTATTCTGAATGTTTGACGGTTCTTTGTTTATATGTATAAGTTTATAAAAACAAATTTGGCTAGCGAATTGTTTTCAAATAGCCCCTCCATCGTCATATTTTCAATCTCCTGGCAATAAATCGAGTTACTTGAGAGGATCGACGGACTAGCGGAATGTTCGGTTAAGAGATGACGCTGTCCATGTGCATTCCTAAATTAATTAAGGATAGGGTGTGCATGAGCCCTTTGTGCGTAAGACAAGGCCCTCGATCTTGGGCCCGGACAGCAAAGCGCCACACGCTGGCCCTCCACAAAGAGTAGTACATATGAATGTGTATGAGTGCAAATGCATGCATGAGAAGTATGAAGGACTGTATCCCTTAGGATCCAAAAGAGCAGTTCGATTTCTGGTCTTGAAGGGTGTACTTCGAGTCTATATCGTAAAGTCAATTAGCTAGATTTAGTTAAGATAGATTGATTTAAACTAAATCACATTATAATTAAAGTAAATAAAGTTAGTTATAGTGCTTTCTAAAAGCACCTGCATTTTTATTCCTAAAACCTTTATTCAGTTGAAAACCCATAACATAACCGTATCAGAAATCAACGTATGCAGGGTGTCCTACAACTTATTCCCCAACGGGCACTGGCATATTCTCCGTTGAAAATAGAACAAAATGCAGTTTGACCGAATGAAATCGGTTGCAGCGTCCTCAAGAAAAAAAATATAAAAAATTTAGAAATATCATCATCTCTCATGTTCGATAAGTCATAGTCTAATGATAATATTACAGTTTCTACTTGAGTGAATGTGTTCACAGACGCAAACGCCCGCCACTTTCCTTTTCTACTGCTATTATTTTCTTTTGGTGATGATTGGAACTTACTTAAGACGATAATATTTCTAAATTTTTAATATTTATTTTCTCGAGAACGCTGCAACCGATTACATTCGGACAAATTGCATTTCGTTCTATTTTCAACGGAGAATATGCTAGTGCCCGTTGGGGAATAAGTCGTGGGACACCCTGTATACAGGGGGTTGAACACCGTTGGAGTGCTCGTCAGAGCTTCGGTGGCTCATGAACCCACCTCGCCAGATTCACGTAATCGTAACTGCCGCGAAAATGACAGTGGCGATGATTAGGCCGTCACATTTCTTTTATAAATTTATATAAACAAAGAGCTGTCAAACGTTTAGAATAGTCCATCATTTACCGACAAACGACCAACAAACGATTGCGAAAAAAATTAGTTCGATCGGTCGTCATGAGGGGCTAACTATATGGAGCTACCTTCTTCGAACTTCGCAAGCCTTGGCCCACTTGTGGATGTAGCATAAATTATGGATGTCTTTTTATGATCAATATGGTAATTTTATTAGCGGTCAGGTTTTTTAAAAATACGGTAATATTACCGGTCACATTTAACTTTCGCATCTCTAGATCAATCACATCAGTACCAGTCGAACACGAGGACACAACGCATATGAGAGTGCGATAAAGGCTCAGATTTTAGGCAGATTAGTTGCCGCTAGAGTCGTATATATGTTACATTCGTTCGTTTTTCAATATATTAGAATGTTTCAGTTAATTTTGAAAAACTAAAATCTAATGACATTTTTTTTCGAAAGTAGATTCTCGTGTATCTGCACTACGTGTATTTTAATCTATAATCTGTCATTGTTAAAAAGTAGTCTCAAATACTTTACAACGCCGAAATATTAAGATACCCCCGTATGTTTCATGTGATCGCAAAGACTGTAGTAGGGTAAACGGCCGAGTGACTGACTGTGTTCTAGATTGTGAGCTCAAAGGTATAATTTTGACTGTCATAAATGCAGTTTTTGTCGAATAATAATTTAATTACCGGCTAATTAAAAAGAGTTTTTTACTTTATATTATTGGAGGAACACATTGTTTTAAATAAAATATTTTAGAATAGAAATTGAACTTGAACAGTGCGATACGCCTCTTAGTGCCTCCGCAGCAGCAGTGTTAGATGTGGCAGTAGTTGCGACGAGCTACGTCGTTGTGAATTTTGTTTTTCAGGTAAGTATAAAACGACATGAAAATGGTGTTAACATCTTTAGCAGGAATCAGACTATCGATGAGATGAGAAATTATTTAACTTTTGATTAGATATTTGTTCAAATTTGCGGGACAATAAGTGCGTCACATAATTCGGGTTGTGTCGTTGACCGTCGTTTGTATGGGGATATTCGAAAGTGTCAGAAAGTGGATACGCGCAGGCGTCATAAATTGCGCAGGCGCCATACATTGCGCTAAGGGTGTACATAAGGTACATACACGCAAGGACCACAAACTACGACATGGATGTTTCTTAACGGTCAGAAATCCCGACAGCAGAGAAGCGCTATTAAAACAATCATTAGTACCTTAATTGTTTCACTTGTACAATAGTTGAATCTCATTCGGAAGGCTTTAACGCACGTGTTGAAACCTTTAGTTTTCAGTTTGGCTATATCACGCGTGAATGAATAGCAAAAATCCGACACGGCCGCTTTTCAACGGTCGTTAGCTGTGCCGTTTACCCTATTTGATGATGGATACAAAAACAAGCTTATTAAAAACATTTCAATATAATTTGTAGTTTTATTTATAATTTTAAAATCTTATATTTTCAATTTTTCTAATCCTCGATATTATAATTCTCTTCGATAAATAACTAATTAACCGTATATACAGCCGTTTCAATTAATTCCACCAATAATATCTGTGTAAGAGTAACAATTTATATTTTGTATAACTTTAAGTTTACAAAACAGATGATAAATCGTTTATATTTTTCATACTCTATGTCGTAAGTCACAAATTTGTATACCCTTTTATTTATTCCAATACAACCCAACAAACACACAAGGCCGCCTTAGTACTCACTCGTGGCCAGTCCGTTGGTAGATGCAGTGAGCCCAGTAAGTGCCCATTACTGGCTCGCTTTTATGTGCTTATCGGGAAGTATAATAGTAGAATGGTTCAAGAAAGAGCCCCACAAGGTGGGGAATTTATAGTGACCAGTTCGATATTTTCAGAAACGAAGCCAGATACATATAAAAAATGTTTCAGACAGAAGTTGTAAGGTTTCAAGATAAACGGAAGATATCATTATTAAATTCCCTCCTGAGTTTAGGCGTTAAGGTAACTCGAAGGTCAATTTTTATTTTTTCAATGGGATGATGCAATTTTTCGTCCGGAAATCAAAAAAGCATTCAATTTTGAATCTAAATATAACAGTACACTGATGACCCAAAATTGGCAAAATAAAGCATAATTTGACTAGGGTCATTAGCTGGCTAGGGACGTTAAAGATGCCTAGCTTAAATTTCGTCGCGATTCGCGCTCTAGGACTCGAGTTCTTCGTAGAACGGGGCGAGGGGGGATGAGAGAGGGAGGACAGTAGATGGTAGATCCCAGGTAATGTAGAAAACGAATATTTTTTCTTATTTTTACAATAAGCGTAAGCTGCATTAGAATTCAGTAATCAATAACATCCACCTGTAACTCTAAGTTTCTTACGCAAGTACAAAACCATATAGCACATAAATAATAAAGACAAAGGAAAGAAACAAGACGGTATAGTTAATCAAAATATTTAATAATTTATGTTCCTTCGTTAAATGTGCAGGTCAAATTTCGCGCAGCGAATAATCGTGAACGTTCGTTCCCATTCTTATTGTAAGACCAGTCGACTTCGGAACCATTCGGAATTGATTTCCAGTTGCTAGGCAACGTCCAATTGAAGTTCCTAGCAATAGTAGCAATGTCCAGTCGGTGGTTTAGTCTGCAGGTTGCGTGGCGCAAGGTGCAAACATGGGCCTGCCGGATATAGACAACATACCGGGTAAAATTATATTAAAACAATTGCATCACAATACAAGAATTTATAATCTCACTCAGCACCATTATAAACAAGAAGAAATTATTATTGCTTTTACACAAAATCAAATTTCCCGCTTCCGAAACTTTCCAAGTACGAAGAAGCCTGCGTCTATATTTTATATGAACCGGTAGAAGCTCTTGATACTTTTGACATACACGTCAGACCCATGAAAGATTATAATTAAAATTGTCTCTAAATTCCACTTATCTGATTCACGTTCTTTTTGAAAGTTATGATACACAGTAGTATTATCAATAAATTAGCACATTCTACATATCAATATCGATCTTGTATAAATTCCCACGTTATCAGATCATTGGCACGATAGACTTTTTTAAAATATTTTATTTAATCAGTGTCATTGACCTATGTCACAGGGTTACAAAACTTTAATGAATTCCTACGTCAACGACGAGATCGTATCGCCATTTTATATAAAACGACATATATTATTAATTACATAGAACTATTTAACATAATAACAATTTGGTTTTTCAGGTATTTTTTTTTAGAACAAAACCATCATATCTGATTTCTTGCATAACCTTTAGTACACAAAGCACAAATGAAGATTTAAAAATAGCAGGATCTTTTTTAACGTTGATTTTCACGAGTTCCTGCATCTATTATGCTTTCCATTTTATATGTCTCTCAGTCCGAATGATAAATGTCTCATGAATAATGAACAGGAACGTTTGAACTTTTGATATGGAAAACATAAATGTAAATTCAACGCAAGGTTCACGTTGAGATGTGGAATAGTATATAGAAGGTAGGTTAACTTAGAAGGTGACATTGTTGACCTTTCTATATAACAATTTAGAAATTCAGGATCATTAATATAGTACTTAAACTGATAAAATCAGTAATAAAATACTGAATAGTAATAAAATCAAATGAGAACGGTCTGATATTACAACAACTCTATAAACATTTAATGTCACTTAGTGAACTATTGATAGGCCACAGGTGGTTTCTCAGGCCACAGAGAAATGTGTACCAAGAATTTATAGAAATCTTAAACTTCATAATTATTACGAGGAAATGAAGATTTAAGAACAAAATAAGTTTTCTGATTACATTTGCAAAGTCAAATGGCGAATGTATCAAGAGTCGGTTGAGACGCGTGTTAATCTTCGCCTAACGTACCTTAAGATTGGAGATAAACTGGCAGGATCGTTATGTTACTTTTGATTTAATTAACACCGGGTGCCTGAACTCTGGCACAGTATCAAATTGTTTCTTAAATTTATACCATATACATGTACACGATACATATGTATATATACATATATACATATATACATATATACATATATATATATATATGTATATATATATGTGTATATATAAGAGAATCTAGAAAACTATATACAGACTATAACTATATATACAGATAAAATTAATTATTCAAGATAACGTAAGCACGGTAACGCAGCGTATGGCTATAGTTGTTAGATCAATGAATTAGGGTTATGTTGACATTTTGGTCCCTGGTTGGCAGTCACGCTTTACACCTAGTATTATGTACTGTCTGTTTCAGAAACTGGCGCAGTATTTACCATCGGTCGAAGCCGATTCGCCGATAATGTAGCGTCTCATTTCTTCATTAGACGCGACCCCGTTTTGGACGTAACATGTGGGGACGAACACTCGGCCGTTGTTTGTGGTAAGTTTCATTGAGAGTTTTCATCGCTGATGCATGTGTGAAAAGAACTATATATGTTTGTTCTTGGTATACGTGATATTATATACACGTAGTTGCACTGTTATGGAAGATCCAAAGAAACCATAACCAAGTCTGCTTAATGCATCGACATATATACATAAGAAGCCTATCGATTGCAGTATTACGATGCATGATTTATACGGAAATCAATATGTGAACGACTTCCTATAGGCTCAGTTACGTCGCACGTGGCCACAGGGTTGATTTAAAAATTGAGTAATTAATAATCGAATAAAAGAAGTGTCATCGAATGTTCCGTTAGAAAATCGATCCTACACTTTACTTATTTCTATGCGTAACCATATCTTTTTCCACTGTCAAAAGTTTAGGATCGAACCTTGCATGATTTACAGCTGCTGCAGCATGTCGTGCATACATTTTATACATAGGATAGCCACTGTCCACCAAAGGGGTGATCGATAATGCACGCTGCACGCTAGAGTTAATGCACTGTTGAATGCGTCACGAAAAAAAAGAATGCACAGCTCGAAAAACAAGAGGATATTAAAGTTTGATAACTTTATACATTGTCGAACATCTCTTTCTATATTTATATAGAGCTAATCGACTCAACGTCACCGAATAAAGTTAAATTTCGCGTTGAAATTAATTTAACGAACTAATTGCTATTGACGTATTTAAGCTAATTAGTCTCATATGAGATTATTGAATTTAACAGTACCAACTCTAGTTAGCTCAACCATTTGATTTCTATATTAAAACCAACTGCAGTTGGTGCATTGGTACTGAACAGGCCTGCATAATATATTAATGTTATAAAATTGCTGTATTTTATTGTTGTTGTGTATTTCGATAAAACGACCGTATCCTTACAGAAAGCGGCAGACTCTTCGTTTTTGGTAGCAACGACTGGGGTCAACTTGGTCTTGGACACAAGAACCACGTTAGCAAACCGTCCTGCGTGAAAAGTGAGTATAACCGATCAATATTTCGCGTAAGTCCGATGGCTGGTAAGAACTGTGTAAAATGTAGATATATATATATAGGTATAAGTAATGATTGTGTTGATTTCCAGTTCTAAAACCGGAGAAAGTGACCCACGTAGCATGCGGTAGAGCGCATACTCTCATATGCACGGGTAAGTACAAAGAAAATTGTACCTGAGAGTCAGTAAACTTTCTGAAAGTTCTTTCTATGTATGTATATTTTATGCATTGGATATGATATGTGCGTATACATATAGTATCTACTGCGTAACTAGACAGGCTTAACTAGAATTTTCTCGAAGATAAAAATTAATGGTCTTCGCTTATGGAATGTATCACGAAATACCAAGGTAACGATCGATACTCTCATTTCCTCAGGTGGTCAAAAGATCTTTGCGTGCGGCAGTGACCAGGAGGGTCAACTTGGTCGTGGTACCATGACCACTGGTGATAGTTCGAGTTCACCGGTTTTGGTACACGATTGCGGTTCGGCAGGACCGAGGATAGTTCAGCTTGCGGCTGGTTCCCATCATTCGATGATCCTTACTAGCGACGGTGATGTCATGGCTTGGGGTAGTAATCTGGAAGGCCAATTGGGTCTTCCTGGAATTTCGGGTCTTGTTAATAAACCTACGAAGGTTCAAATTCCTGAACCCGCTAAACAAATTAGTGCTGGATATTATCATTCTGCATTTTTGACCGGTCAGTTTTATTTTAGTGATATTATTTTTTTGGAAATTTTTTACTATGCATTTTTCAGCTTTGTATAATAATTATTTCAGAGACTGGTTTACTTTATGTTTGCGGTGAGTCTGAAAGCGGGAAAATTGGTATTGTCGTAAATTTCTCAACCCAGGTCGCACCGAAGTTATTGCAACTACCGATGCCAATTGTTGATGTCGCGTGTGGTGGTCACCATACGCTGGTATTAACAGGTGATTTATTATATTAATATTCATTTGAACAGATAAAAACCATCAATGGTTTATTATTGTATCGATTACCTATAAGTTCGGATTAATTGGAAAAATAATCAATCAAATAAATTACATTATTAAAGACCATTACAAATTTTAAGTAATATTACATTGATCTTTCACATATAAGGATTGTCCATTTGACAAAGATTTGTTAACTTAAAAACTGCTTAAAAGATATCATATTTTGCAATTCGCAGTCATATTTTTAATTTTATTTTAGATACTGGGACAGTACACTGTTTTGGCAGTAATGCCAGTGGACAATTAGGTATGGGCATCGATGTAACTGAAGTGCAGACACCAAAACTTCTTCCAAAAGACAGTCTGCAAGGAGAAACAATTTCGAAAATTGCTTGTGGAGAAAGTCACAGTGCAATTATTACTGGTAATTTGTAAAAAAGTTACATTATACAGTCATACTGAATATATGATAAAACATTTTGTGTATCTTGACAGAATCTGGCAAACTGTTCACATGCGGCGATGGCAGACACGGTAAATTGGGTCTGGAAGAGAATGAAAATAATGTTCATGAATTGACATGGGCCAATAAATATCAGGAACTTTTCATAACAAACGTAATTATTCGCACGATCCTGTAATAAATGTTAATTGTAATATTATATTGTGCTTTTTTACCTAAGGTTTCTTGTGGTGGCTGCCATACTATATTGGTGGGTCGCAGACGGGAATTAGATAATGATGAATCGGATTCTCTGCAAATGGTATAATACTTTTTAACATAATTATTAACTGTATGATAATTTAGTGTCACTTGAACAGTTTGTAATGATCTCTACAGGATCCATTAATCGCAAGAAATAATTCTTTACCTCCGTTGAAAGTTTCACACGGTAGACTCCAATATGAAGTGACACAGTCGAAGAAAATTGAAGTGGATAATAAAATGTCTACGAGTAATCCATTACCGAGTACTACAGAAATGGTAAACAATGATAATATTAGCATCAAAGACCCGATGAACAACAGTGAGAAACCGGAAGTAGCCAAAAAGATGTCAGAGTACATTGAAGAGCATAACGATACCAAAGTCTCTGAAACATCAATTATTAAAGAAAATGTTGAAAAGTTGGATGAGGATAATAATGTTTCTAATGACAATGATGTTTCTAATGAACAACGAACAATATCTGATGTTAGCGAACGATCTTCCAATTCAGATAAAGAAGTGATCGAAGGTAGTAAACAAACAAAATCAATAACTGATAACGAAATAATAAGCGGAAAGACTATTTTGAGTCCGCTTCCGGTACCACCGCCAAAACCACCACGCACAAAAATTGGCAGCGCCGACAGTGCTTTATCTGAAAAAACTTCTTCCTCGACTACGACGCATCTTCAGCCGGAACTGGTGACCACGCCTGTCAAAGAGATAAGCTCATCAACGATTAAAACACCGGAAACGAGTGTAATGAAGAACGAAACTGTTGACGAAGTTAAAGAGAATTGTGAACAAAAATCAGCAAATAGTCGTGGGGCAAATTCGGCTAACTCGGAAAACGTTACTGAAGAAACTTTGGGAGTTGATGGTGAAAAAAACAAGTTGGATATTGGCAACGAAAATAACAAAGATATCGGCGCAGAAAAAGACAAAGACAACCGTGACACAGAATTAAAAGTCGAAGCCACAGATGATACGGATGTTGTACCTTCTCCATTGGCAAAAACTGGTATTTGGTCTTAATAATCTTTTTTTAAGTGTAATAAAAAATTCATCGATGTGTTATATATGATTTTTGATAGGTGGGAAAATGGCAAAACTATTTAGGAATAAAAAACAACTGGAGGCAGAGAATGGGACGAAGGGAAGTAACGTGACAAATGCAAAATCAAAAGTAAGCATAAAATGAATGGATCAAAATGGTTATATTTTAAAACTATTGCGCAATTTAATTGTATTACGTTAAATATTTCAGTCGAAAACGTGTAGCGTAATATAACCAAGAAGACTTCGATGTTTCCACAGTATTTCATTATATTTTTATAATCTAATATACATATTCGCGATTGGGGACCAAGGCGAGCGAAATCAAAAAATTTCGATAAATTCAACATTCGATAAGCTATCAAAATTTACACGTAACGGAATCGTTTCCCGTTGCTTTCGCAAAAAAAGTTTAGAGTAGGCATGCATTTAGGATAAGTTGTTTGAGGCTGTTTCCAGTGTGATTTATTATTGTAATAAAAGAAATATCAATAAACATATTACCAATAAAGATCCGTACTGTACAACCTGTAGATAAGCGAATAAGAACTTGGTATCAAGGACCGTAACCGTAACTGATACCGAAATGGATAACCGATAATAACCGAAACTGTAACCATTAAACGAAATTTCATAAGTGTTAGATCTAAAACTGTGACGGAAACCTGGAATTGCTACAGTGGAAAATTGAAACCAAAACTGTTAACCTGAAAGTATTTTATTCGGGGATTGCCAGTTGGCCGATTTTCTTTAAACCAATTTTATTTTGGCGTCGACGCGCCACCTGAGCGAAGGGCCGTCGAACCATACCCGCGTTTTTGATTGTCGAGTGTATCTATCAATACCTCAAGCAAACCCCAAACGTGGGTAATAACGGAAATATAAGTTCCCCGATTTTTTTACTATGGTGACTGAACAGTACACGTACATACATGGTGCTTCGATTAGCGCGCAGGATTTTTGAGTTCAAGACTTAGACCCTTACTCATACCTCTCTTTTAGCGTTAAGAGACGTCTATTATCGTTAAAAGACAGCAGATAAGAGAGACCTTACTCATACCTCTCTTTTAGCGTTAAGAGACGTCTATTATCGTTAAAAGACAGCAGATAAGAGAGACCTTACTCATACCTCTCTTTTAGCGTTAAGAGACGTCTATTATCGTTAAAAGACAGCAGATAAGAGAGACCTTACTCATACCTCTCTCTTAAGCCATTATTATAGAAAAATCGCTAAAAGACGCTATAAGAGACGTCTATTAGAGACGGTTAATAGCGATTATAAGAGAGAGGTATGAGTAAGGGTCTTAGTCATTATTCTTTTTTATATTGATTCGCTCACTATGCTTATTGGTTTTATTAATTGTCTTAGGATTTATTAAATACATGATCGCAATACATTATATACATACAATAAATACATAATTAAGCGAGCGTTTCTTCTTGCCAAGAGCCCGTGAGTGACAAACTGGGCAGACGAACATAAGCACAGGTAGGAAATGAGTATTTACGTGAAAAATGCACTGGCCGCTTCTGGTAAGTTGGCCCTCGCAGCTACAAGATAAGTACCTGGTTCTCGAGTGGGTATTATGTTCTTTTCTTTAATCAGGCTACAATGTGACCGCGGACATATCGAAGCAATGTTATTGGAGAAATGTATACATATGTATACTCCAGTAACGCAGAAACACCCACTCTTTAGGTGGCGTGTCGACACCGAAATAAAACTTGGACCATGAAAATCGGTTCATTGGCGATCTTCCTACCAGAGATAAGTAGGGAGATGCACAACGATACGATTTTAGGCGACAGAGATGAGTAGGGAGATGCACAACGCTACTGTTTTAAGCGATACCAAAATCATGGTGCTAAATCGTAGCGCCGAGTCTGGAAGTAGGATTTTGTTATCATCGCCTCCGTCGACATTGCGAATCCCGTCGCAGCCGAGCTAAACGTGAACACGAACGCGTAGCTTGGCGGGCAGAGGTTCTCCGCTACTCACCGCTGGTTCCCAAAGTAGCTCTTAGAACGAGATCGGGAACTATAGAACTTCTCAAGAATTATTGAAAAAGCTTATTGTTGAAATATTTTTAAGACATTTTGAAGAAAGTGCCAACTTGACACCCGTGTAGCACCTCAAATTTTACTAAATAATATTGGATCTTGATTTACTTTCAAAATTTATTCAAAATATAAAATTGAAGCTAAATAAAAATCTCGCAGAATATACGGAGCAGATAAAATATGAATTGAAATTGTAGAATATCGAAAATAAATTACGTTCAAATTGAAATATCAATAAATTAGGTGTTTGGAACAGTCAAATAATTAATTAAATCAATAAAGTAAAATATTAACACTCAGAAATCGGAAATTCAGGCCAAGCATATTTAGAAGTACTGGAAGTAGCCCAAAATTGTGTGCGCGCAAATTCGTCGCGGCAGGACTCGTCGAGTGGGGTTGGCGGAGAGTGGGGGGAGCGCTCGAAGCAGTGCCCCGGACTCCGAGCGCTCATTATTCCTCGAGCCGGTCTCCTATACTGGTCTCCTGGAACCACCCGCCATATCCATTTGCAACCTTTTTCCATTTTTATATTTATTTCTTCTTTACTTCCTTATTTCTTTATCTTTCATTCTTTACTTTCTTATTTATCTCTTTCCTCATTTCTTCTCCACTTTTATAACTCTATTCTTTACTTTTCTACTTCCCACTTCTTTATTTCTATCTTCATTTCTTTCTTCTCGTTTCGCTTTGTTCCTTCTCACTTTCCATTGTATTTGTCTTACTTTCCCTATTCCTTTGGTCGGGTCGAGCATATTCATTCAAGTAGTCATATAAGAGTAGTCACCCTGTTAGTGCAGCTACATGTAAAGACCATGATGTCGGGGTTTGCCCTTCCGCCTCATCCGCTGAGCTTGCTCAGTGGGTCGGGCCCAAGTTGTGGCCGCAACAGGACCTTATGGGTCTCCCGACGGGGGCCTTGAGCCCCCTTAGGGTATCTACGGCCATGGTTTTTCGTATAGTGAATTTAACCAGGTGTCTAGCTCTCGCGTATTTAGTATAATTTGTTCGTGTGGGTAGAGACGATCCTAAGTGTCGGAGGGGAGGTTGTGCAGGGTAGTCCATTGACTCCGGGTAAAGTCCTATTTGTGCTTGTGCTTGGGGGTCGGCTTCACTTGGGGTAGGTGCGGGTGCTATTGAGCACCTGCTAGTATAAAGTCACCCTTTGTCGGAGACATTTTGCGCGGGGATCGATGGTTAACGGGATCCGCCGCTGGCGGCGGACGCGGTTCCTTATGTCTAACCCACTGAGCTTGCTCGGTGGGAAAGGATGGAGGTTGTAGCGTTAAATATCGTCCCTCGAGACGTCCTGGCGTGCCCGCAAGGGCGCCACCAGGTGCTACGCCCATGGTCTTTCGTTGCGGTAAATCTTGACTAGGGGTAGACCTTTCGCATTTAACTTATCCCTTTTGCGTTTAACTTATCTTACCCTTTTCGCGTTTAACATCACCTTACCCCCTTTTGCGTTTTTCTTGTTGCTGGACCCGACTTCCTTTCCTTCCTAAAAAAAAAAACACGGTCCCCTATGGGGCCTTGGAGAGAGGTCGTAGCTCCCTTCAGGAGAGACAGGACCTCACGGAAATAGGCGAGGAGGGGCCCATTTCTCTCTCTTATACTTCCTACTTTTCCCACTGTTCTCTTTTCTAGCTCCTCCCGAATAATCTGGTTGTAGTACACACGTATTACGCATTTTTTTCTCTCCTTGTTCCCTCAATCCTTACCATCTCTGTTCTTCACTCATTCTTTTTAACAATCTTCCTCTTTTTCCTCTCAACAACTTATTCCCTAGCTGCTGCCACAAAACATTTCTACTCTATTCTCGAATCTCTTATTCCGTCCTATGTCTCCATCACTCTCTTCCTAGTACATCCTTTAAAACTAAGTCGTTAATGCCCAAGGGTCAAGGACATGTTGGAGCGTTTTTAGCAAAGCGAACAAATTATACTAATTACGCGAGAGCTAGACACCTGGTTAGATTCACTATACGAAAGACCATGGCCGTAGATACCCTAAGGGGGCTCAAGGCCCCCGTCGGGAGACCCATAAGGTCCTGTTGCGGTCACAACTTGGGCCCGACCCACTGAGCAAGCTCAGCGGATGAGGCGGAAGGGCAAACCCCGACATCATGGTCTTTACATGTAGCTGCACTAACAGGGTGACTACTCTTATATGACTACTTGAATGAATATGCTCGACCCGACCAAGGAAATAGGAAAAGTAAGACAAACACAATGGAAAGTGAGAGGGAACAGAGCGAAACGAGAAGAAAGAAATGAAGATAGAAATAAAGAAGTTAAGAAGTAGAAAAGTAAAGAATAGAGTTATAAAAGTGGAGAAGAAATAAGAAAAGAGATAAATAAGAATGTGAAGAATAAAAGATAAAGCAATAAGAAATTAAAGAAGAAATAAACATAGAAATAGAAGAAGATTGGAAATGGATAAGAGAGGTGATTCCAAGAGACCAGTATAGGAGACCGGCTCGAGGAAGAATGAGCGTTCCGAGTCCGGTCACTGCCTCGAGCGCTCCCCCCACCATCCGCCTGCTCCCACTCACCGAGCCCTGCGCGACGAATTTGCGCGCACACAATTTTGGGCAACTTCCAGTACTTCGAAATATGCTTGACCAGAATTTCCGATTTCTTAGTGTTAATATTTTACTTTATTGATTTAATTAATTATTTTAATGTTTCAAACACCTAATTTGTTAATATTTCAATTTGAACGTAATTTATTTTCAATATTCTACAACTTCAATTCAATTTTTATCTACTCCGTATATTCTACGAGATTTTGATTTAGCCTCAACTGTATATCTTGAAAAAATTTTGAAAATAAATCAAGATCCAATAATATTTAGTAAAAATTGAGGTGCTACACAGGTGTCAATTCGGCTCCGCACTTTCTTAAATATGTCTTTAAAATGTTTCAACAGTAGGCTTTTTCAATAGTTCTTGAGAAGCGCTACAGTTCCTAGTCTCGTTCTAATGGTTGCTTTGGGAACCAGCGGTGAGTAAAAGAGAACCTCTTCTCGCCAAGCTACGCGTTCGTGTTCACGTTTAGCTTGGCTGCGACGGGGGGACCCGCTACGTTAAATAATGGGAAATAAAAAACTGCGGTAAAAAAAAAAAAAAAAAAACTCTCTTAAACTGCGGCACCTCTTGGGTGATGTGGAAGCCCGCAGGTTGTCGTTGTTATGCCTTTATTGTAATAAGATAAATAAATTAATTGGATATACTCTTTAATCTGTTAATCCCATTTGCAAAAGCACATTTTTTTTTGTAAAAAGAATGTGCTCTCCATAGAGGGGTCTCGAACCATAGACCTCCCGATTTGAAACCGGGTGCACTAGCCAGATGCCAAAAACACCTGTTTGTTTTACTTTATTCGGAAGTTGTATTTCCAGAATTTCATCGTTTATTCAACTGCTTACTATTGTCGTTTCGCTTACTTTACATATAAGCAGAATAATATAAAGATGCACACTAGTTAAGAAATTTCGCGCCACCCTTCTCCACGTGGATGAACAATTACAGACAGAGATAATGCTCATTTCCATATTTGCTTCTTAAGATTATTGATTCCAGGTAATGAAGTGAGCTAATTATTTTCTCATAGTAATTCTTATTGGCGCTGCAACTGAAGATTGCAAATAAAAAAGTGTTTATAAGATTATAAGAACCAGCGGCAGCAGTAACAGCAATAGGAGACCCCTCAGCGAGAGAGGATCCGCAATCGCTCAAGTCGCCGGTCGCGCTGCATGAGCGGGCGTTTAAAATATTAGTCGATTCTGTCATAGATAAAATTAAAAAAAATATATATAAACCTGAAATAAAGTTTGGGCAACCTAGAAAGGTTAAAAGAGAGGAACCTTGAACAATTTTTGTAGTAAAATAAAAAAAAAGAAGATGAAAAAAGAGTTCTTCATAAGGGATCGAACCCGTAACCAGCAGCGGTATATCTTGACAGGTTATTGACTCAGCCACGATGCTCGTTCAATTCTAAATTAAATTTTCTATAGATATTTATCTATGATATTTCAAAATTTCTCTTTAAACTGTTCTCGGTCGTTTCATTTACCAACAAATATCGCCATTCATTTTTTAATGTTCATTTTCGGCATGATAAAAGGTAAAGAGTGAAAACCAATATTTCTATGCATTTTTTATAACTTTGAAATTTATTTGAATACACACATTTGTTTGCGCATTACGTCCATACAAACGTTTAGGGTTCGGTTGGACGGAAGACCTTGCTGTTCCGCCTGTTTGTCAAGAACGGTTTGTGAGGGGCGGTAACTTGTTCCCCACCATCGAGCAATCCATTCATTTCGCTGACTGCTATATCGGCTGGAACGATGATCATGACCCGCGCGGCTACGCGAAATCTGTAACATCGACAGAGGCGATGATCACGAAATCCTACTCCTGGACTCGCCGCTACGATTTAGCGCCATGCTTTTGGTATCGCCTAAAACCGGAGCGTTGTGCATCTCCCCACTCATCTCTGCGAACGGTCCTATAAGGTTTGTTCTCGCTACCGAGCTATCTGCACTTTTCAAAGAGTGTAAATGTTTATCAGATGATATTTTTAAGTCACCAATGAGAATCTGCACTTTTTGAAAATTGCAGAAGAGTAACGAGAACAGATTTAATGAATATCTCACTCTCGCCCGATTCCAGTGGGAGCATAGCTTAAGAGTGAAAATTATGTAGTGTGTTATATTCTTTTAAACTTGTTTACTTGCAAATGAATGTTGTTTTTAAGTTAATTTTTGAATATTTTATTTTCTAATTTTTACAAGAAAAGCCATGGAAGAAGTAATAACGGATTTGTATAACATTCTTATTCACTTGGAATACCCTGGAGTGGCGGAAACCAGTTTGAAGGATTTCGAACCTGTTATTCTGTATGGTTCAAATCGTACAAAGTTATTAAGTTGGCTTATTAGTAAAAATTCTGAACATCTTGGAGTGTGTTTAGAGAATTTACAAGATACTGCCTTACAAGGTATTATTATGTCACGTATAATGTTTTGATTCTCTTGCAAGATTAAAACCATGAATTATTACTTTGCTGCTATTATGATTTGGTTCTTTTTAATTGCAATGAAATAAGCTTATTTTTTATAATCGGCATGTACAATATTCCAGATAAACTGAATGAATATTATTTTGAAATGGGTATTTGTAACAATAAAGATGAGCTAATGGTACGTATTTCAACGTAATAATTTTAATATTGTACATTATATCATATTTTATAATAGAAGAAAAATCTAATAATAATTTATAAACATTCATTTCTGTTTAAAATTTTTCATCAGGGTAAATCAACAAATTCTGCTCAACTTGCTTTTTTAAAAAGGCTAAGGATTTTTATGAACAATATGGTAGTAACGCATTTAAATATTAGTAACCCGATAGGTAAGAAGACAGTTGAACAAATTCTGAATGTAAGTCTATTAGTATTTGCAGTTTAGTATTTGAGATATATATTATGTCATTTTAATATATTTTAAATGGCTTAGGATTTGAATAAAGGTACCAACATAATTCCTTCATCTTGCAACATTAGAAAAAATGTTGAAGCTGTAAAGGCAGCATCATATATAGAAAAGGTTAAAAAGTCATTGACTGAAATTGAAGATCTGCAAATTTTGTATGATCCTGAGTCACAATTTGTTGCTGAAGAGGTATAGTTTTTATTTGCACTAAACTGTTTTATGATATTAATTTGAAGCATGAAAATTTTATCATTAATTACAGGAAATCCCCAATAACGAGTGCAATAATGATGCAAAGGATTCATTATTCACTGCAGCTAAACAATTTTTAACAGGTTTTGAAATGCCTGTAAGTTCAACACCCTCTACTGCTGGTGAATATTCTGAAAGATATAAGAAATGTATGGATCATGAGATTCAGAATTTATACGAGAACTTCTCATCTCTTAATCCGGTACCAATTCTCTTTATTTGACACTTTTCTTATATCTTGCAATTTTTTTATGATTGTAATTACTTATTATTGTTTTTAATTTTACAGATATTACATTCAAGGACAATGCTGTCAAACTTCATGAATATTGACTTACTGGATAAAATTAATACACCACTAACTCAAGTAATGGAAGACACAGTTATTCATATAGAAGAAATTCATAATCTCTTAAGCAAAGGCAATTAATGTAATCATAAATTGTGTGGTAATTTTAAATACATGTATAATTTGTATCGCTTAAGTTTACCTTATATGATTTTATTAACAGATTAATTTGATTTCAAAAAAAATTTAATTATTAGTAATTTCAGGTCTATATTGTCAGTGGCAGTGTTTGCACATTGTCAAGGAAAGATATATTGACTGACTGGCAGTATAGATTTGAGGAAAATTTGTTAAAATTTTGAAATAGCTTTTTTCTTTTCATGCATTCAAATGTGAAATAGGTGAGCAAGATGAGAAACAAAGTTGTATTTTTACTGTTTATTATGTGTATAAGTAAAAATACATGTTTTTACATAAGTTGGTTGATATTTACGATCGGGGACGCTCTTTTTTTTCCTTGTATAAAGCAAGCAAGGAAACATTCGCTACCTTGACAACTTTGAAACGAACGCCAGGAATGTCACCAACAGCATGACCTTTACGACCGAAACCCGCAACGAGAACTTCATCGTTTTCTTCAATATTGTTTAGACAACCATCACGAGGTACAAATGCCGTAATCTTCTTGCCATTCTTGATTAATTGTACCCTTACACACTTACGAATAGCAGAGTTAGGTTGTTTGGCTTCAACACCACTGCAAAAAAAATACTTGTCAATGTACATGGGTCTCATTATTAGAAATTTAGGAAGTATGGGGTACAAATCTGCAATTAATTGTTCATGCACAGAAACTTACACTTTCTCGAGTACAATTCCTTTTGCATGTGATGCACCTCCAAACGGGTTAGCCTTCCAACGAGTTCCAAGATGAGCTTTCTTATAGTCTTTATCGTTCCACCTTTGATCACGTCTGTGGTTAACGTGTTTGCGAGCAGTTCGAAGACCACGGGGTTTACCTAAATAAGAAATACAATTGAATGCACACTGAACAATAAAAAATCATTGACAATAATAATCGATAATCAAAACTCATTAAAAATTGAGAGTATCTTGAGTATATTCTCAATAATATAACGGAAAATTGGGATAAATAACTAGATGAAGCTAAAAACAAATATAATTTGGCGACAGATATCCTTTGACAATAGTATTTTATATTGAAGTAACAAAGTGCTTGTGCTTAACATAATAGTGTAGTCTGTTTTCAATGTTTCTTCTAGTTTCATGTTTGTTATTTGTAAACCGATTAAAAATTCTATTCAAAATACGCCAAAACAACGTATAGACATGCCACTGTGTACCGTATCATGGCGTTGTAACCACGTTTTCTAAGACAATCTCGATTTTGGAAATTATTAGAACTTTTTTGGAAAAATGAAAATGTGGACGAACACCGCTTCTACATAACAATATTATTATAAGCAGTTTTTAAAAATTATTGCTTTATTAAAACACACAAATTTACATTAAATGCAGAACGCGTCACATACCCATCTTGTTTGGTGTATATAATACGACCGGAAGAGAATGGTCTACCATCAGCGGAAGCCATGTATGACAAATCGAGATATCGATTTTGAAAGAGAACTATTCGAGACGGTGTCGATATAAGGAGGTCGATTGTGTAACGCAAATGTAATGAAAATACAAAAAGTGAATATCTGTTAGCCAATCGTTATGCTTGGTTTCTTTTGAACCGAACGCACGATTGGCTAATAACGATTCACTTTACCATTTTGACATCGACCCCTAGAGCACTACAGGTGTGTTCGAAAATGAGTCGAGAGCACTAAGAATAAATCGATGTCTTAAACCGGTTCATTTACTATTAATCTAAAGAAATTTATCAGTTCCAGATATTTCCACCTCCGATTTTCTTCGTTTTCACATATGTTGTAGTACTCGATAAACTAAGGGACACGTATTTTTCCTTATCGGCCCAAATTGAATTTTTGAGGGTGAAAGTCGCCCCCGAAAAGTGGGGTACTAAACATCCATTAAATTATTTCACATATAATAGCAGTATCTTTCACAATGAAACCAACTGGAAAAATTTCCTCACAATGAGAGATCAAAAATGTAATTTTCTCAAATTTGTCGAATAATTTTTATGGGGGTGTTTTAAGCGTTTCTTCGAAGAGACCTTAGAATTACTGTATCACATACAATGAATAATAGTTCGATAATGCTTGCTGGTCTTATAGATCTATTTGTTATAATAATTCCTTGATAATTCACATTTTCCTAATGTAATGTGTACTTCTGATAATGTCAATTTATGTAATATAAGTTCCTTCATTTTATAAAAACATACCAACAATAAACTGCACTTATGATCGTTTTGTATAACCAAAATAATTTTCGGGTGGTTCACCCTCATAGCAATTTTTTTGACAAATCTGAGAAAATCACATTTTTTATCTCTCATTGTGAGAAAATTTTTCCAGTTGGTTTCATTGTGAAAGATACTGTTGTTAAATGTGAAATAATTAAATAGGTGTTTAGTACCACAATTTCCATGGGCGGCTTTCACCCCCAAAAATCCAATTTGGGCCGATAAGAAAAAATACGTGTCGCTTAATTTATCGAATAAGTTAGTTTACATATATGAAAACGAAATAAATCGGAGGCGGATACCTACCAAAGGTTCCTTATTAGAAGTAGAAATTTATGTGATTTGTCATTTTCTTTAAATCAGTGCCAACCATTGAAATAAAGGTATACTGGAAGGTGTATGCATGTATGTACATACATTCATATATACATATCCGACGGTAGCTGAAAAGTTCTCGGCCTACAATGCAAGACAATTTTTTTTTACGTGAAATATGTTGTATTTTTCAATATAATCTCCTGAAACCTCAATACATTTATTCCAACGTTTTTCCAATAATTCAATAGCATCATTAAAGTATGATTCCGGAAGGTCTGCAAAATATCCATCCACGGCTGCAACAGCTTCGTCATTCGATGTGAAACGCTTTCCACCCAGGAATTTTTTCAGGTTTGGAAACAGATAATAGTTAGAGGGAGCCAAATCTGGTGAATAAGCTGGATGTTCAAGCAATTCGTACTTTAATTCGTTGAATTTTGCCATCGTCAAAACACTTGTGTGAACACGTGCATTGTCTTCATAAAACATTATTTTTTTTTTCATTAAAGCAGGTCTTTTCTCACGAATTTTTGCATTCAACTGATCCAAAAGGTTACAATAATATTCAGAAAATATCAATCGTTTTTTGGTAGTTTCGTAATGATTGGTAGTCTAATTCGTTGTTGACATTTGTTGATGTTCGGTCTTTCACAGTAACATATATATTGCTGAGTAGGAAAATTTAGAATGACGATATTGAACTGTTACTTTGCGTTAGTTGACAAAATTAGAAGATCCAACATAAAGACTAAATTCTAGCAATATTAACTTTTAAAAGCAGTAATGATAATGATATAAACAAGAAACAGAAAACAGTGTAGGATTTTATAATACGTAATATATAGAGAAAAGAAAGGGATAAACGGTACATACAAGCCGTAACGAGTGTGTCCAACTGGTCCAAACTAATAAACTAAGTTCATTACGTGAGACAACAATAGTTTATTATTATTTATAGAAATATTTTAATAGGGAATACATATTACATGAAGAATTATAAATAGAATGCACATGTATTAATTCAGGTATTGGAGTTCCCGAGAACAAGGGTTCATGTAAATTCGACAAAGAACAGACGGGATGCATGTAGATGTAGTATACACGAAGGTATCTGAGAAAGCTACCACAAATATACGGGATGAGCTCACTCGTGATATCCAGGTGATGATGACATTAAAAACGGGACTCCTTAGATTTTTCCGGAAACATGATATCTGGAAGCCATTGTTAAAATGAGTGGAAATGTTGAGAACCTGATTTTTGAATAGAATTAGTAGATTCATATAATTGTCAATGCATCAAGCTGTATTACGCATTTAATATTTATATCCACGAACTAATACACAGTTCTTGGATGGATCCACTAACTTCGTCTTATTTGAATAATTCGACATACTTGTCAGATTTCCCATCTGTCCGTCTACTAATTTATTGAAAATAGTTCATAATTGAATAATTTGTCTCTATATATATTTTAAATACTTGAACTATAATAATACAACTTTGTCCTGTTACTCAAGATATTAATAATGCGTACGTGCGACTTTGTACTTCTAGGCACGTCTTTCTAGGAAATACAAAGTACGAGGTGAGATTATCTCTTCAATTTGTATTTTTTGTCCTTAGATCCAAATGGAACGCGCAAAGCATAGAAGTACACGCCGCACCTTCTTAAGAAGAAGAAATAATATAATAAAATATTGTATATTGTTAAGTTATCGTTATGATTAATTGCTCACTGAAGTCTCGCGACATATGAGCGTATCGTCTACTATTATCAGTAAATATAGGAAATTACAATAAACAGATGTACAGGATAAGATTTGTCAGCGAGAGTTTTATGGCTTCTCACACATACAATACACACATTAATCAATCATTTTATAAATAATTCCATTATATTAGTCTGTAACTTTCTGCGATAGAGAAAAAACTATTTATCGCTAAAATAAAATAAACACATATTTTTATTCTGCGAAGCACAGCCAAGTGAGCCGAAAATTTCTCTCACAATACTTTTTCCCTTTCATCCGTATTATTCGGCAATATTTTGTGCAATGTTGATTTAACCTGTGCATTACAGTGCATTCACGTGCCACATGATATTATGAAGATATAGCTATTTTCTTCAGACTACAAAAATATATATATATATATTGCAAAATATTCTGAGACTGTATATTAACTATACGCGCATACGCGAATAAACCTACGGCGCGGGACATATCTTCACCTAGCCTATGTAGATGAACTGAGGTGATTATGTCACCCCGTGTACATACAGCGAGTATTTTTCTGTTCTTACGCTCTTTTTACTATTTTAATCCACGTAAAGAGCAATAACTACTGAATAATTTATAAAATATCTTGGTTTCTTAACAGAAGCATAATTACAAAGCATATACGTGCTTGCTAAAATTTTGTAATATCCCCAAGTAATATTATGCTTTAAATGTTTACTTTTAACCTCATTTCTTACGACTTTCTATAACTTTATAACTCTTAGGATCTCCGTCGTAAAATATATGCCAATTTTTTTATACGACAGACTATAAATTACGACTGCATTAACGAAATATTTATAAATATTAATCGATGGAATTCGGTATCACTTTTCCATTCACACTTGAATTTCCTTTAAACAATTAATAAATTTCAAATTAAACCCATCTATTGAATTTTAAATAGCGGATCCCAGCTAGTGCCATTTATATAAAAAAAGAATTATAAATAACAAGCTTGTTCATCATGCACGAAAATCAATAAATGTAATGTACGTTATTCGATTATTTTTACTTTTCTTTTTTAATTGATTATATGCGAATGTAAATGAATTGACCTTGTATAATCAATATATCGTACATTTTCAAAATATATAAGCGGTTTATATCATTGCTACTCAAAGGTTTACCGTTAATTATTTTATGGAGTACTTTCTCTAATTTGTCACTTTTACTTCGGATTACGTGCAGAGGCACAAATGGGATCGTATGAATTACCTAAGTTTTCCATAAAACTGTATGTCTTCCCATGTTACTAACAATTAAAAAGTATATGCTAATCAAGCGAATACACTTATCCCGAAAGTGAATATAATAAGAGTAATATAGCGTTGGTAATATGTTGTAACGATTTCTGGCAACAATTTAAAGATAAAACGATGCTGCTGATTATTTATAACACGACGCTTGTTTCAAATTATAAATACGGTTTTGTGTAATGACAAGATATCTCCTGACGTGTAATCGGCTGTTCATATGTACTTAATAATTCAATAGGCTCATACAGTTTGTTAGAAATGCACCATATATACACTCATTCACTTTTCATTTAGGTGGACTTGTTGAAATGAGAAAATTCATACCAACGGTTCTCGCTTGGCAAAATGGAAAGTTAAATGGTCCAAGAGATGATTTGATTGAAAGCAATTGCGATGCAACTGGAAGTTTTGGTGTTATAAAAAGGTTCTATTGTTCTCAGTTGTGCTTTATATAATCATTCATATAATTTTACACAAAAAATAAAAAATGAACGAGGGAGACTAGCATATCCTCGTATGGAATAGTCCTCGCGGACCCTAATAGCTATTATTTCCGTTCAAGTATATTCGTCGTTAGCAATTATCGGACAAATCGAATGACTCATTTTTTCGATCCCACGATGTTAACTAGTCCATTGTCTTGATAAATTCAATGGCAGAACAGAATTGCGTCCACCAATACTGTTCCTCGCCTTCCAATCTATTCCCGTAAAAACTGTCTACATATTGTACAGTTGACAGAAGAGACGGCGGATTTGTCTGAAATATACAGATGCACATTAATCTACTACTGCCACAAGTGGTGAGTATTCTAATATACATTTCAAATTATTAATACTTTTATGATAACGTAGACGAGAACCGGTATTAGGTCGTCGGCTGCAGGTATTCCTCTCTCGGATGCCATCGACAATAAATTCATGATCGTAGTTGCACAGCGAAATACACATTGTAGCTTATCACGCGGTGTTTTGTACGCTGATATCACCGCTAATTCGGCTTGGGCCCAAGGCCACGGACACTCATAATGGTAAATTTTTGGAATGCGTAAATCCTTATGATTCGGGGTGACGACTTTGGCAAGTTTTTTTATATGATCATGAAGAAGTTGATCTCTATAAACATCGCCATCTCCATTTGGATATAATGCATTGTGATACACTCGAGCCATCACAGTCCTCTCCACCACGGACCTCGCGAGTGCCAACTGATTCTCACTTGCCACTAAAAAGGAATAATTAAAATTTTGCATACAAAATTAATGATTAAATGCGCATTACTCGCGTAAAATATTATACCCATCATATAAGAAAGTTTGTTGTTATAGCGCCAACTGTATAAGGTAACTATTTGTGATACGACGAATGCAGTAGAATACAATTTAGAAATATATTTTTACTTGGAGTAAAATTATTATACCCTTTTACCTTGCCAAATAGGGTCATTTTCCATTTCGGTGTTAATTTTTCCAAGAAAATTATCCACTGAATCCTGCTTCTCATCGGCCAGTTTAAGTTCTTTAAATTCATCACAGAAGCGTAAAATAGAAGTTTCTCTTTTTTCTAGAAAGACCCTTACGCATACAGATACGAGGTGGCTATTTACTGCATCACGATCACACTTGACCCTTTCTCCCAAACTAAATTATATGATATTATTTAATGCATTTTTCTTTTACACATATATTATAGAGCAGTTATAGCTTACCGATCCAAGTGTGCCAGAGTCGACAGCAAACCCTGTCGACATCTTATTAAATAAGCTATGTAGGGGGATCTTTTTTGATAATCATCTCGAAGGGACTTGAAGAGTTTTCTACACCCATCATCATTAAACAATCTAACACATCTTAACGTCTCATGAAGATGTGCTATCAATGCTCTATCTTGTAAATTGATAGCTTCAGCAAGTTGTAGTTGCAAAAAGGTTACTAATTCATTTTCCTTTTGCATCCACGTATTTCTCTACAAAGAAATAATAATCACTCAGTACTTAACTATCAATAATGACATATTGGTTATTGCCCGTTACCTCCGAAGCCGTGCTACATGGAATGTGTTGAAGATCTGCAGTGCTTAGCACCATTCGCAGTTTTCGTTTAGCATCAGCGAAGGCGAATGAAAGTTCTACGTTATTTGGATCTATCAAAAGCCTTTCGTCTTCAGCTTCTTTTGTTCGCGACTGACTGCTTTCCACGGAAGCAGTATCGCTTGTTGCACTTGGTTTCCGTCTGTACTTTGCTAGTATATCGTCGGTACTGTCTAAAATGTCCTCCGACTGTCACTTTTCTGCATGCTCGCATAAATCAACTATTTTCTATAGGGCTTACCACTGTTTATGCTTCCTGTAGAGGTCGTATCTTCCGACATGATTCTACGCAGCCTATGTCTACTAACGTCGAGCCCATCGCCACCAGCTTCACGGTCGTAGCATCTGCTGAGATCATCAGCCCCACGTACCGATTTACCTCGACGGTTCCTTAAGGTCATTTTAAGTTTAACGAAAAAACCTCGCTTGTTCTTCTGATCATCGTCGAGAAGTTCCTTATCACCGCGTTCGGCCGTCATATCGAAACTTATACTCTTCGGAATAGCGCCGGTAGAAGTAGTAGGTTTTGATGTTATAGAGCTAACACCATCCGTCATATCGCCATTTCCGTTTGATATAGGCTGATTTAAGCATAAGTCTGAAGCAATAGTATTCTTTGCTCTTGATTCTGACCCAGAACTGCTACTGGATGTCAAACTGGCTGTGCTCAATCTCACCACTACATTACTACTAGTGGGTATGCCACCTTCCTGTTCCTGTACAAAAAATATAACATCATTCATGTATATATTATGTATAAAAAGAAGACACTACATATGGAATAACTCATAGAATAATCGAAGGCTATAATTATATGGAAAACAAAAAGTTACAAATATTTAGACATCTAACATCAAATTGTCATTATAGTACTCTACTCGAATTTTTTGATTATTGTGAAATTGATTGTAAATGTACAAACTATCGACTACCATGTTACAGGTTTCAATTCAATAAAGTGTTCATTTCAAACAGTTCTCACTAAATTTGAGTATTTTTTTATTGAAGAGTACTTGAATTCAAAAAGCTTGTACCTCTGTTTTAACGTCACCATTTGGTAATTTCTCATTTGGCAATACAGGTGCGGAGATATGATTCGCCAAAAGAAGAGCTGGAGCTACTGCAGCTGCACCAATATGATTATTACTCGCGCCTTGCCGCTCATTTGTACTTCGCCCGTTGTCGATCTGCAGTTTATCAATAAGATGAACTAGTCTGTTTTCCCCTAATGGCTTCCCGTAATCCATGTTATTGACATTGTTGGCATTGTTGTCGACGTACTCTATGGCGCTACGTCGAGAGTCTAATTTAGATCCATTACGCCCAGTTATGTGCCATCCTGAGGGTGACAGAGAGGCCGTTGGTGAGGTTGGGATTGTGAGTGTAGGTCGACCAATAGGTTCTTCTCGAATAGGGCGGAATAACGATGCGGAACCTTCTGCTCGTATTCCTAGAGTTATTTAAAAAAAAGGTTCGGTTTCGAATGTCACGTACTAAAAAAATCGTCTATAATTAAGTTTTCTTACGTGAAGACATAGGTGGTGGCGTTTCTTCTCCGCCTTCGGGTTCACCACGACCTTCAATTTCGACTTCTGATCTTGCTGTATCATCGGATCTAAAATGAGAAAACTGATAATATGCTTTTTGCTTCCTCATAGAGAAAGCTATGTGACGGTGGAAAATTTTCCTGTCACCATGTTCAGAATGTGCCAAAACGTCGAGAAAACACGTTTGAAGAAAATGTCCGTGTGTCCGCGCGCGCGCGCGCGTATGTGTGTGTGTGTGTAATGGCCTCCCAAAATTCAAACGTGTATAACTCGAGAACGGTTTTAGCTACAGCCCCCCAATTTTGCAGGCATATGCAGCTCTATAATCCCTCCATTGTCTATAATTTTCGTTATGATTCAAGCTGTGAATCAAAATTGATGTCATTTTCAAATTTCCAAAAAAAGGACATTCGCACTCTAGCGATCGCAAATTTTGTGATAATCATCTAAATAGTTCTTGACAAAGAGATATGTATCCAAGGTTGGTTGGTATTGCATTTGGGCCGAATCCATCGAGAAGTTTTGATTTTATGATATTTTGAATTTTTCGAAAAATTAAATTTATCAACATAACTCCCGTCAATTTTAACCGATTGAGCTCCAGTTTTCGAAAAGTATAGAGTATCATTTAGCCGTGATATGTCTCAAATTTGGCGGAGATAACAGTTTTGATTTTATGATATTTTGAATTTTTCGAAAAATTAAATTTATCAACATAACTCCCGTCAATTTTAACCGATTGAGCTCCAGTTTTCGAAAAGTATAGAGTATCATTTAGCCGTGATATGTCTCAAATTTGGCGGAGATAACTAAAACGGATCTGATTATACGTATATTCAAGTTTTTGAATTTCAGCCCATTCAAAAATATTAGGCTTTTAATGTACCATCCATTCTGCGGCATCCTGTTTAAATAGTAATACAGTTAATCACGTGAAAAAATTCTGAAGTCAACAAGGATAATTACTATAGATATTAGATAATACAAATTGTTTAAGCATATTGTTTGTATTAGTATTTGTCATTTATTAATATTTATTTATGGCTATATTATGGAATCATAGTGTATAGTTTAAATTATTTGGATGTCTCATTATTCACGTATACTACTTATTTATAGTTGATTCCATCTCTGCAGAATAAATAAAAGCTGCAAGTTGAAACTTGCAATTTGCTTCCTCCGAATCGTAAGTAGTGTACCAAGTCCCTATATGAGGATGCCAAGAATTTTAATTTTACAATTTGGTTCCTCTGAATCGTAGGTAGTAGATGAAAATTTATCTATGAGGAAGCTAAAGATTAAAAAAAAATGAAAATGCTTCCTCATATAAGGAGGACACTACTTACACACTCGTACACTACTTACGATTCGGAGGAAGCAAATTGCAAGTTTCAACTTGCAGCTTTTATTTATTCTGCAGAGATGGAATCAACTATAAATAAGTAGTATACGTGAATAATGAGACATCCAAATAATTTAAACTATACACTATGATTCCATAATATAGCCATAAATAAATATTAATAAATGACAAATACTAATACAAACAATATGCTTAAACAATTTGTATTATCTAATATCTATAGTAATTATCCTTGTTGACTTCAGAATTTTTTCACGTGATTAACTGTATTACTATTTAAACAGGATGCCGCAGAATGGATGGTACATTAAAAGGTCATCATTGATAAAACAAATTTTAAATACCTAGCAACACTGGCTGTGTCATCGGTATCAACTTCTGTCATTCTTTCTGAGTCACTAGCAAGTACATCTGTACTCCAGGCTTCGGATGCAGTCTCACTGACGTCGAGTATAGCTTGTGTATGCTCCGTCGGCAAAACAGGTTGTGATTGTTCAGATGGTGGAGCGAACGGGAATCGCTCTTGCTGCTCGAGAGTTTCGCTGTCTGAGGCCAAAACATCTGTAGACCAGGTATCGGATACCAAAGAAATGGTTTCGTCCCCTAAAAAGTATCCTTCGTGTAGGATGCACACGAGTGATGAGTGATGATGATAGACTTTCAATAAATTTCTTTGAAAATTCGAAAGTGGGCATGCTGATGATAGGTTCGAACACGATAATAATAACGATATGCCCAATAAATACCTTCAATAAGTTTTTTAATTTCAAATTTGCAAAATTTATCATCGATTTCTGAGCGACTTTGTTTTGTTGGCATCGTTGGCGGAGGCAAATCCAGCTGCCTCGCTTCACCTGTCGCACGACCATCGTCGCCCTCCGTAATCTGCGAAGATGGTGTGTCGCGACCTAAGAATTATGACAATCATGGATAAGACTGGTTCAATGGCCTTTAACCAGAAAAAACAAATACACTCAGACGTCAGTTAACGCTATCCCATTCAAGGTTGTTTTGTTTCAGCGCGATTTGGCAAACACTCGGTTAAACGATAATTTATTATTTCTCTGAACTCACCACCACCGTATCACATATACCACGGTTAGTGCCATTTCTCTAGCATTCTAAATTGTAAGAATGTATCCTGAGCGTAAACTAAGTTAGTAATCAGTTACCACTGTAATATGTTTTGAAAGTTACCCGAAATATTCGGAGTTCCACGGCCGGACACGTTGGCTGATACCATATCGGACAGGTTGTCATTCTGATCTTCGGTCTCCAACTCCAGCGAGGATGCCACACTATGATTTGAGGCAGCTTCCGACACTGCTTCCAAATTATCCGAAGTATTACCGATGGACCCTTCAAATAAGACTAATCACATTACTGTAGACGCGTTGTTGGTGGTGATATAACGAATGATTCTAATGTTTGGCAATAAGTTTGTATGGTTCTTGACTTGTATGGACCTTCTGACTTTTCAGTTATTTAAGATCGTAGAGCAGATCTGAATGGTAACCGCGTTTGAACAGCTCAGTACGAGCTCATAAGTATATGATATGCGATGATATCAGAAGGTTAAAATTAATTTTACGAGTACTTTCGTTTGTTTGTCAATTTTTTTGTGAAAATCTAGCCTGCTGTAATCATTATAACGTGAGATATCTCACTCAATTATATTTAACCAAGGTAGAACACCTAATGCTCAAAATTGTTTTTTAAAAAAAATTGTTCATGTATCTCTCTAGCATATTTGATAATGTTGAACTGCCAAAATGTTTTTCTAACCAAGAGTCTTATTTTTGGAACCATATTTCAAATAAATAATTTATTAATAATAAATTATGTTGAAAAATTGTTTTTAGTCCATAAATTTGATTACTCAAAATATTGAATATTAACCTATAATCAAAAATCAGTATTTTGGGATTGTTAGAGTCCTTGACTATGAATCAGGGATAAAAAATACCAAATTCAAAATGGCGAATGGGATATTCAATATCAACTGGATTCGGCTGAGATTTCCTACGCGGAGGCTTTTTGGATCGTTGATGGAGAATTCGGTGTAAAAAGTATTATATTGTAAATGGCAGATACATCTGTACATATAACGAATCCAGCTGATTTTTAATATTCCGTCCGCCATATTGGATCCGCGATTCTGAATTTCTTACTTCTGACTCCAGATTAGTAATCAGCGAGCACAAAAACCCCAAGTAACAAGTTCAATCAAAATATATTCACGAGAAAAATTCGTGCAATATTAAAGGGTTAAAATTAAAATTCAGAATGGTCCAAAAAATGCCTTCGAAAAAAATACAGTGGATTCTAACCCGTTAAAATACATAGACGCCATCATTATCTTTGGTTTCCTTTTCCTGACTGTTCTTGTTATCACATTAACTGTAGTCGAGTAGTATTCTTGGTGATAAGACGATGACCGGACAAACCATATCACGGTAGACTAAACGAAAAAAGGAGAGTAATCGAATGTACATTGTTCTACAGTTTTTGCTAAGTAGCGATCTCAAAAACTTCTATTAATTTCTTAAAATTTCTACAACGTGTGATACTACGTACATACACATTGCAGTTAAATCACGGAAAAATGTAACACGCCAGCAAACTATTGTAAGAAGTTTATGTAAAAACAATGTATACATATAAATATTTCTATTACAAAGAAAAACCCGACAAGATTGTAAAAGAAATCAGTTCAAATTAAACGATCTTTTGCTTGCATCAATTTCATTATTATCCATGAAAAATATAGTCGGAAATATGTATTTTCAACTTTCAACACTATTTCCCTTTTATTGTACTCGATCACTAATCGTTGATAATCTGCGCAGTTGAATGCGCTGTGGTTGACTGTCGACTATTGAGATCACGAATATAGGAATACATCAGATGAAGAACAAGAGCTTATATGCGGGATAAGGAAATGGTCTAAAAGACGACAGGAGTCAACATGGACTTTAACATATGAATAATGTATCTACTGTCGAACCCCGCAAAGTGCAACTTCGCAAAGTACAACGAATCCGCATTGTCAATCGTTCGAGCTGCCCTATCTCTCGGATGCGTTCCCTCTTCACGACACAAACGCGTTAAATAATGTGGGTGGTCGGGACAGAAACAACATAATGAGTGAAGCCGACACGATCCGGTAAAATGCAACTCCGATCTCGAGCGGTTGCACCTTGCTGTGTCCGATTGTAATGCACAACGTAGTATTGTGTTAAAGTAGAAACATTCGTTATTGTGTTAGTATGCAATTTCTCATTATTCTACATGAAATCAACTCAATTTGCGCCCACAAGCATAACACATATTGCTACTCTCGCACAATGCCTATTTATGTACATACACGAACGCACGTCCAAATGGATCCCATGTTTACCTTTCGCATTTTAGACCATAGGAAAGATTTGCAAACTGTGTATTTTCATATCGGCAGTTAAGGTTAAAGATTTATAGCAGTAGCCAGGCTTTCAACTATCTGCGATTGGCCAAGCACAATCGAAGACAAACAGTAGTAGCAAAAACTTAGGATACCCAAGAAGTTGAAAATAGCGATGTTACTCGCTACAAACGAGTTAAATATACATAGATCTGACTGTATGGCAGTGTGCCATGAGTAGATCCAAGTCGTTACACAATTTGACATTACTAATGATTCGCATTTTACTACAAAGCATTGTTCTTGTCGATTCTATCAACTCATTTCATCAAAAATCTTTGGCAAAATATCATAGCGTGACATAGATTTGTATTTCGAATGCTCATTGCGTACCTTCATCGTGTGATAAAGAAAATCGTGTTCTTTTTTCTTGAGTTTCGATGCGCTCCACGCTATTGGTACCTTCTCTGCGATTGTGTCCATTAGGCATATCATCAGGGAGATTCAAAGTCACAGGTCCACTGTCGATGTCATCTTGTATTTCCATACAAAGAACCTACGTGTAATACGTTAGGATTGAATATAGAAACTACTAAAAGGATTTTAAAGCAGGTAGTATCATACCTTTTGCTCGCTTAGTAAGCCAACAGTTTCACTGGATGTAGGACCGAAAGGTATAACAAGAACATCTTGAGGAAGTTTGGAATCAATTAGGTCATCCTCTGGACCAGAAACACCATTAATCTCGTCAGAAACTCCGTCGGCCATAGCATTGGACGAAAGTGATGACGATATCCGTGTATCTCTTCCGCGGCCAACTGACATCAGATAGTGTAAATGTAATAATTACAGAAATTGAAAATGAAACAAAGACTAGCTTCGAAGACTAGAAAGCTTACCTTTGCCAAGAAGGCCACCTCTCTTGTTTGGAGTCTCTGGTGAAATGTTACTGCCAGTCTTATGTGTAGCTAATAAATCCGAAGGTAATTGCGAGAGCATCTCGCTCAATTGTTTTCGATTGACAGCACTACCAGATTGAATCTCATCAGCGGCATTATCGTTAGCGACACTTTGTAAAAATGTAATTACAGTATTGAGTTCGTTCTCAGTGAAGAGTGCGGCAGATCTAGAAAGTCCTTGAAGCTTGCTATTATCTATGACAGCAGGTTCATCCTCAAGTTCATCAGTGGCCCCTTCTAGCATAGCGTCCAGCATGGACGAGACAGAATCTTTCTCGAACCGCCTGTAAAGGTCCATTACTTTGGCGTCGATAGCTTGATATTTAATCAACGATAGCATCTGCAAGATTTGACCGACTTGTATGAGATTAAATCTTGCAACGTAGCTAATGGGTGCGTCAGTGATGCCATAAGGTTCTGGATTGACTATAGCTGGACATATGAAATAGGTGAAGACAAGATCGGTACACATTGCATGTACTTCTCTGGGATCAACATTGCCATTTTTTCCCAGAAGACCAGCCATCTGTCTGACGAGCCAGCACACGCTTGTGGGGAAGCAGTGCATATTCTCGCGAATGCTCACGATGAATCTCTGACTAATTCGTACCAAAGAATTAATCGTCCAAAGTCTATAACGTTGTAACTTTGTTTGGTATTCCGTTGTACCTTCCTTGCCAAATTTCTTTAACCTTTCTGCAGGTGGAAATCTTATTGGTGCCTTGTCCGGATCTATATCGAGAAACATCTCATCTTCCATAAGTAACTGCATTATGGGGCTGTGCAGTGCAGCGGTTAAAAACAACTTTGCCGAAAAAAGGCCCTCATGAAAAACAGAGTAGAATCTAGAGAACGCACAGGTTCCTTGACGTAGTAATCTCCTCGGATTATCTGATGGGACAACTTGAAGAAATATGAGATGTCTTAGTAATTTTAATACTAAAATCTTGTCTTCTGGTAATAAACAACTGCCAAATAAACCAGCTGCCAGAGACTGGATTATGCACTGCATCATCTCCGGTGCGACCTTATCACCTTCCACGAGACAAGATGCTACAAGTTTTGGCGACTTTCGTAATGCGTCCAGGAACTCCCCGTATGCCAAGCATACTTGATAACGTAGATGTTTATATCCGTCAACGAATTGAGAATTCTCCAAAGTATTGGCTCTCTGGCAGCAAGAAGCTGGAGTACAGTCTGGCCTTGATACTATCAGCTGATTTAGATTAACTCTCTGCTGAGCCGTTACCCATGCTTGTTGAGCCAGATCAGATGACATATATATAACCTGTAATAATTAGTTTTTCATATTGAATATGATAGAATATATTGCGTATAATTAATAGTTATAAACATTTAAGTAGGTACAAATAGGTTTCTATCCTTCTTTGGCGTATTGCCTGATAATTTTAACTTTTCGCAAGTGAAGCATAATGACGAGATACCATTTTTTACATAGTACTCGTTATTTTCAATGTTTCATTTTACAGTAGCCCATAATAACCCTCCAGGCACTATTCGGCTCTCATCCTTAGAGTTTTTTTCAACGACCAACAACTTCTCTAACAATGAAGAAAGCGTGGTCTATTGTCCTCGGGTAAAATGTTGAAAGCATCTAATAAGCCCCATAATTCAAACAGACAAGGTGCTTGCGCATTTGGACTGTGACGTCACCGGACTGTCTCTCTGCTTTGATTAGCTGACTGTTCATATGTATGTATAGTCAAGCCATGATATTGTATAAGAAGACTTATTTCCTTTGGTTCGTAAGAAGATGGCTTCTTTGAGTGCAACTGATTTCACTTTGAACGTGACCTCATTGGACCATATGCGATTTAGACCAAAGTGCAATCTAGACCTAGTGGCTTGACTCGTCTACTTGTATCATGGTAAGCCCTATGAGGCACAGAATTGTTAGTACTGAGATTCAAACTACGCGTCGAGTGTTTTAATACCCCTTAGTCCATATATAAGTATACACGAGATTGGTAAGTAAGTAGGTTATTTAATTTTTATATTTATCCATATTTTTGGATTAGACACATATTTAATTTGCTATTATGTACTTATAGCAAGCAAAAATAAAATATATTTTTCCTAACATTGAATTACTTCACTTAATAATCTACTAGCTTTGTCTGATCTCTCGCGTCACCTGCTACTCGGTATCGGTTTGGGTAGACATTATTTCTTTATCATTCAGTGTCTTTCGACTTAATTTTTATATTCCTATTACGTATGAGGTAAACTTCCTCTCATCTGTAACCCTACAACGGCACACTACGCTGAGAAAAAGATTTGATAATATCAATTACCAGCTGCGATCTGGGGAAATTCGGTTGGACCAATCGATGCAGATTCGAATTGATTACACTGGTGTTGTAATAATGAAACTGGTATAGATGTTTCGAGTGTGTATTGCATTCAGCGTGATTATATCGTTTGATCAAAATAAACTTAGATGAAATTGAGTGGACAAAATCTGCGGCTCTAATTCGAAATGAACCTTAAGGAAATTAACCCTAGAACAGAAGCACTCTGAGGTTACACTAGACTAATTTGAATCGGCATGTTCGTAAATAAGTCCGTAAGTTAAGGTGTTATACAACGTAAGGTAATATAGGTTGACTCTCTGGTGTCCTCTCAGAGCAAAGAGCATAATCGGTTGTGCGCTGGCAGCCAAATATTAAGAATATAAAGACCGTGTGGAGTAACGAATAACCCCAGTGTGCCGTTAAAGTAAGTTTCTCAGATGGTAAATAAATTGAATTTCGGTTTTAGTTTTTGGTTTAGCGTTTTTCAATCATCATTTTTCATTTACGATTTTCGAATTTAGATTTCGGTTTCCGTTTTGAAGAGAAATAGTTCTTGGTAACGATGTTTTTATTTTTTGTTTTTCTTTTTTCACTTTCAGTTTTCGGTTATCAGATTAGGTGTCTTTTTACTATGAAACCTAAGGCCGGATTCACACCAGAGGCAGCAGGCAGCCAGCAATGAAAAAGATGTTTTGACATTGATTTATGACGTCACGAGGTAGATCATATTTGTTCATATTTGGTAGATCATATTTGGTCACTGCTTCGTTGCTCGTTGTTTTTGGTGTGAATGAGTTCAAATGAGCCTGCACACCAAAGGCAACGGGCAACGACCAATCGACAAGATGCTTTAGGTCTGAATTATGACGTCACATCTCAATGCTCTTGTCCCATTGGTCGCTTCTTTGCTGCTTGGTTAACCAATGTAACCAGCATCTTAGTCATTAGGTCTCTTCTTATTACCTACACTGTCTGCACTTTTCAAAGAGTGCAAATTCTTATTGAATGATATTTTTAAGTAACCAATGAGAATTTGCACTTTTTGAAAAGTGCAGAAAGTGTAGGTAACAAGAACAGATCTATTGGTTCAATAAATGATTGTTCGAATTTAGTTTTTTTGGGTATTACAAGAAAACAGCGAATTATCAAACCTTTTAAAAAGACTACCAAATACCACCAAACGACCACCAATTAATTGGTAAAAAGAAAAATTTCAAAAGTCGAAGTGGGGGGGCTTACTTTGCGGAGGTCTTATTTTCAATGTAACTTGTGTTCCACGTCCCCTGACAGATTTTTTTGGAACTAGGAGTGGTCTCGGGAGCGTTATCTGATGCAGTTTTTCAGAACTAAAAAAGATGCTCCCGCGAAAATAACCTACGTGAAGTTAGCACTGTAACATTCACTTTTTGTTTGACACGCCATAAAAGGGGAACTGTTATTTAAATAGAAAGAGCGAGACAACCCCCGAATTGTTCTTCCCCAAAAGTGTCTAAATTATTAAATTGTAACATAACAAAATGACCGCTAATCGATTAGGTATAATAAAAAACAGAAAGGTAAATAGAAATAAAGAAGTCGAAAACTAGATAAGGAAAGCGATTAAAAAGAACGTAAACAATGAAACAAAGAGATTAGGAAGTAAAGAAGATATAAATATATAAAAAGAAGGTTGGAAATAGATAAGAGGCGTGTTTCCAAGACACCAGTATAGGAGACCGGGTTCGAGAAAGAATGAGCGCTCAGACTCCAGGCACTGCCTTAAGTGCTCCCCCCACTTCCCGGCTGCTCCCACTCGATGAATCCTACGTGAGGAATTTGCGCGCTCACATTTTTCGTCAACTTCCAGTACTTCTTCTGTATACATATGCATTCTTGGCCAGTATTTCGGATTTCCAAGTGTTAATATCTGACTTTATTGATTTGATGAAATATTTTAATATTCCAAACACTTAATTTATTAATATTTCAATTTTACGATTTCAATTCAATTTTGATCTACTCCGCATATTTTGCGAAATTCCGATTTAGACTCAATTTTCTATTTTGAATAAATTTCGGAAGTAAGTTAAGATCCAATAATATTTAGTAAGATTTGGAAAGCTTTATTCAATGTTCCGAATTGTCAACATTTCTGTGAAACTGATTTTTTTTTTCTTCTTCTTCTAATACATTCCTCTTCCATTAAGATATCTTTCCAGCTCATGTAATACATACCTTCTCATTAAGCGTTTGCAAATTCTGCTGTTCCGAACTGACAAATAAACGTTCCTGTCTGAGATGCCCTGCAAGTTCAATCATGTCCCATTGTAATGTCCCAAATGATTCCACACTATTTATTGAAGACATTGCTGAAACAAATAACAAATGTAACGTCGTTGAATAGGTTAATGTTTTCAGTCATATAGACATGTGAAATACATATGAAGTCGTATAAAGACTGTTAACAATACTTAATTATGAAAATCATAATTATCAACTACACATTTAAAATGTCAGATAACATTAAATATAACAGACAATTTTATTCAAAAGCATTATTTTCAGTGAAACAATTTTTAAATGAAAGAAAAATAATTGAAACTGATTAACCATTAAAATACTTTTTTCAAATCTCTTTTTACATGAAAATTCTTTGGGATTTTTCATTTTTCCAATAAATTCTTATAGAAATCTCATATGTTTGCATCTTGAAAATTTACAAACACGCTTTTATTTTATACAAATAAACATTAATATTTATAATTATAAATTGCCAAATTTATTATATTCATCTGTTTACTACATTAATATAAATGTAAAATTATATTATAAATAATAGTTTTTAACGAGTAGATAAAACATCTATGCATCTAATATATTAAATATATTAATTGGTTTTAGTTGCAAAGTAAGCAAATCATGATTGTACTTCGAAATTATAATATCCTTCATCGAAATATAATTAAAATTAATTTTTTCATAACTTAAACCTCGCGGACATCATTTTCTGAGGTCTTTCTGTCGGACAACTGGATAATATACTACCAACGAACTTCTTTTGCGGATACCATCTGTTGAAATTTACATTTTTTAAATTTTAATAGCTGAATTATAATCATCAGAAAGTGTAGAACCTGATTAAATCAGTTCCGATTTCATAAAATAATTCTACGCAAAGTTATTACGTAAAATGCAAATATGAATGCAAAACATCGGGAATAGTGATGTATTTTGTTTTTATCGGATTTTTATTTTATTGTACGTAACGAAAAAAGTCGGGCAGTGCGTAAACTAAAGACATCCTTCTAAAAGACCATATTAGTGGTTTTGCTTATCTCTGTAAAAAGTATGTTTATTTCGCCTAATGAAAACGCGGTATCAGTTTTTTCGCAGCTTATATACTTTTGTTGCTATTTAGCATGAAATTGATACTTTTTATAATGAAAATAGTGTCTAGAAGGGAAATCATAATCTAGCAATCAGAAATGTGTGCAGATTTCATTTGGAACAAGTGTTAGAAACATATATAATTTTGAAGTATTTTTATTATGTGGTGACTGTCTCCACTGGCATTATCGGTGTAACGACAAATTTCTAGCATAAACAAATAGATAGACTAAGTACGAGGTATGTGTGTGTATAATACGAGCAAGTGGAGACATAATCACCACATAATGAAAAATACTTCAAAATTATCAAATGTTCCCAGCACGCTTATCTGCTCCAAATGAAATTTCCATACACTTATGATTGCTAGATTTTTCTCCATTTCAAAGGACACTTGTGGTTCTATGGAACCAAAAAATTATAAAAATTGTATAGTCTATGAAAATACTGTTTTTCAATCACTCTTGAATAATCTAGGTAGTATACTATCCAGAGTGCTCTTCAGATGACGCTTGCTCGACATCTAGTACCACTGGCAATGTCAGTGTATGTTACGTGGACTCCAGAATATTTTCCTAATTTTCAGATATTTGGTAATCCCATATCTTTGCTTATTTAAAAATGGCATTCCTTTAAACATGGCACTGGGCATATATGACCCAGGGTATCCGCCAAAGGGTTAAAATGAAATTCTTTTGCTAAGAAATACTTAAGTAAGTTTTAGTTGCACAGTTCATTTAGATAAACATAAAAGCAAAGAAAGTATTAATACTGTGACTAAATTTACAAAAAAGTGTATTATCAGAAAAAATTTAAATACAGTGAATATAAAGAAATTGCTTACTTATTAAATGTTTTCCAGGGATCCAGTTGTATTGTTTTAAAACTTATTTTTTTAGATCATCCTCCAATTCACTAAAACAGAATTTTAATCAAATTTATAGTTGAATAAGTAGAACTCCTTATTTATAACAAAGAACTACATGTGGTTAAAGAAGACAAAATATTCTAAATCCTCAGAGGCTACTTGAAAAATCTAAATCAGTAAATAGACTTTAGAACATTAAAATTAGATCAACGGTAGAAATTCCTCAGCAACATATTATTTTAAAAAATTGATTCTATAGAAAACTTTTAATAACAAACTGATTTCATATTCATTGTATTCAATGAAAGTATTCATACTCATTGTCATTTAATTTTTTTTTATTAATATTTTTTTTTTTAAGTTCAGTCATACTAATAAAGATTGTATTTTTAATGGTTGTATTAAATATTTTGGTTGCTTTTACAATTTCCTGGCTGGACTGTACAGTCCATACATCCTTAATTGTCAACTAATGGTGGTAGATCCCACTCCTGTCAGTTGTGTGCATTGATGGAAAAGACGATTAAATCTTACACTAGGTTAACCTTGAACTTTGTAAGAAACTGTATTCTACTATTTAAGAAACATTAAATATATATGAGCCAAATACATTTTTAATGAATGAATTTACAGCATAAGGTATTAAGATGAATAGATAAACATTGAAATAAGTATCGAGAATAAAAGTGAAGCTCGAATAGTCACCTGACGACGCTTAAAAGTTGAGATTTTCTCAAAATCGTCGGTTTCTTCGTCGTTTCGTGTTTTTACTAAGAAAAATCTCCTATTAAGTTACATACCACAAACACGTACACACTGACAATATAAGAAAAATGCTTTGTTATTGTCTTCACGGCGACACCCCCAACTGATATGCGACCATTTTCTTTTTCAGGTTAGAACTTTTTTTCGACAAATGGCTGCACGGAGTGGTGCGCTTTAAATCAAAGTTTCGATTGCTCGAAACCTCATATTCGAGAAATCGATTCAAAAATTCTAATGTAACCAAAAGTGTCACCAATCGTACTTATCAGAAAACTAGACTTTTCATTGGTCAAAGACTTTTCTCGTAAAAGATTTGACCAATAAGAAATCTGATACTTTAAGGTACTATTTCATGCAACGGGACCGCGAAAATTGTCGTGCGACGAAATCATGGCTCGAACTTTTATTACTAGGTATGTGCACGTTCCATGCTGAGTATAATTCGTTACGTTATTATTTTGTGTGTGAAGAACTTTACTTAACTTTCTGCACTTTTGAAAAAGTGCAAATTCTTATTGGAGGATATTTTTAAGTAACCAATGAGAATTTGCCCTTTTTGAAAAGTGCAGAATATACGGGTGTGTTCCGAAATGTACTGACAGCACTGTCAAAGTAATTACATCTCTGTTAGATGCGTATAGATGAATAAGGTTACGTACTGGAAATACATTTTGGAACACACTCTATGTAACAAAAGAAGATTTTGTGTACAATAGCCTTAATTTGAATTTTTCAATTGAAAAACTGACGAAAAATGATCATTAAAAATAGTCGCAAGTCTTGCGTGAAGTGTTTAAATATGTAAGTAATGATATCTTGCGATTCTCTCATAAATAAGTGATATAGTATGCAGGAATATTTTATAGTGTTTTTATAATATTAAGTTTAACCTCGAAACTTAAATATTCAATAGTAAAAATTAAAAAATAAGACGCGTGTACCCCCTCTCCTTATTTTGTTAACGCCTCTTTCCCTCCACTTCGATTTCATTTTCTTTAAGTAACATTCTGTACTTCTATTTTTTAATAAGCTAAACATTATTTAATACTATTAAAAGCACAAACCAGAGACTGAAAAGTTTGTGTAAACCATATAGGTTAGGCAACCCAGTACCCGAACACCTGCCAATAGTTGAACACATTTGTAATTTTTTGATGATTATAACAAAAATATTATTTTTATCTATATTGTTATAATTTTAGTAGCAAGAAAAACAATTTTTTGATTTAGTTAATACATATTTTTAATAAAAAAAGTATTTTAAATATGTAAAAAATTATTTTTTAGTGGCCCGCTGCGCCACCAAGCGTTCAGTTCTAGCTAGCTTATAAGCGTCATGTTTTCCTCACTTGGTGAAAAATGTTGAAAAGAATAAACGATTTTTGTTTTCCAAGGTAAGTTATGGGTTAAATTATTCGCAAAAGAATCTTCTTTTATTTAAAAGAAACTTTGAGATACAAAATAAAAAAATATAATGAAAAAAACGTGTGCATCTTTTGGTCTGACATTTCTAACCTCAAACCTATACATGAACAGACAGTAGTATTATGTATTAGTGGTATTAGTTTTTAATTTAAGTGATTTCTTTTATTGTTTTACGATGTCTACTGTAAAAAAAAGGAACATCATTCCCAAAGTGTACAAACTATATTCATACAGCGATGATGATATACATAAAGCTGTTGATGATGTACGTAGTGGTACTACAAGTCTTAGGAAAGCAGCTGCAGAATATAAAATTCTTCTTAGTACTCTACATAATAAAGTGACAGGAAAAGTTTCTGAGATTTGCAAAAAAAGGCCCCTCGACAGTTTTAAATGAAAGTGAAGAGACTCGAGTGTCACAGTGGATTTTAAATAAGGCAAAGTTGGGATTTCCTATGCATGCTGACGAAGTAAAAAATACAGTTCAAAGTGTTTTAAATATTGCAGAAAGAAAAACATGTTTTAAGGATAATCGTCCAGGTGATAAATGGCTACATTTATTTTTGAAAAGGCATCCAGATATTGTATCTAAAAATACAGAAATACTGTCAAGAAGTAGAGCAGCTGTTACAGAAGATGCTATAAGAGAATGGCATAAAAACGCTAAAGTTTATTTAAAAGAAAATGGTTGGGAGAGTGTCTTAGACAGGCCAGAATGTATTTTTAATGGTGATGAAACAAATATTGCATTCACACCTAAACCAGGAAAATATTAGGTCCACGAGGAGAGAAAAATGTGTATGAAGTCGCCAGTAGCCATGAAAAAGAATCTCTGTCTGTTTTGTGCACTTTTTCTGCAGCGGGTGTTGCTGTTCCACCACTTATCATATACCCATATAAAAGAATTCCATCGCATATAGCTGAATCAATGCCATTCGGCTGGCCTATTGGCAGATCAGATAGTGGATGGATGGTGTCAATGACTTTTTATGAATTCATAGTAAATGTCTTTTACCCTTGGTGCATCAAAAACAATATACAGTTTCCTGTTATATATTTTCTTGATGGCCATAAATCTCATTTAACTCTTGAGTTAAGTGACTTTTGCGTTCAACACAAGATTATTGTTTATGCATTGTATCCAAATGCAACTCATATTAAACAACCTTGTGATGTGAGTATATTCAAAGGATTAAAAGTTAAATGGAAGAAAGTTGTTTTAGAATATAAACAACTGACTCAAAAATCTATAACAAGATCTAACTTTGCTGAATTATTCAAAAAAGCTTTTGACCAAATAAGTACATCTTCCATTCAAAATGGTTTTAAAGTTTGTGGATTATATCCTTACGATGAAAATGCTATTGATTATAGTAAGTGCATATCTACTCGAAGAAAAGAAATGAATTTGACAAGTAAGCAAGACTCTGAGCCTCTTACACATTATGATTATGCGTCAACAAAAAAATGTATTGAACACCATATGAACAAAAAAGTACTACAAGATTTTACTAACAAAGTGAATAAAGGAGAAACAAGTAATGACTCTATGTTTATTTTGTGGAAAACTTGTGTCGACAAATTAGAAGAAGCTTCAGAAAATAATGAAGTAAGCGATGAAGTTGAGAATCCTACCTGTGAAAATCAAGTTTCTTGTAATGAAAGCTTAGCGAGCATTAATTTAGCTGATCCTGAAAGTGATCCATTAAGCTTAACACTAGTCGATGAAGCTGTACGTACTCAAAATGTGCCTGGCGTGGAAAGTATTATGAAGATTGAAAAAGACAAAAAAAAAAGAAGAAAATCTAAAGGTTACATTAGAAAAACTTAAATTAAAAAAAGAAAAAGATGAAAGTATTAAAATAAAACAAGAAAATCTAAAAAGAAAAGCACCTCCAGCTACTAAAAAAGGGCAAAAACGTAAACCACTTGCTGATTTATTAACTAATGATTTGTCTAATGGAAATGCGTTGGAAATTTCAAACATCACTGAAAGTGCACTTGACTTAACGTTACATTAATTATAAATGTATTTGAAATGTGTCTTTTTAAATAAAATAAAAATGTAATAAGATTTTTTTAAATTTTATATTATTAGTAAGTAATATTAATTTATTTAATTATTATTTTTCATAAAAGGTTGAACCTATGTTACCTATAGCCTTTATAAATAAATAAAAATAAATCAGCTTAACCCCGAAGCGTATTCAAAAAGTGTGTTCATCTATTGGCAAGACGCTGTTCATTTACTGGTCGAAGTGTTCAACTAATGGGCAAATTGACTTTTTCGCGGTTTTTATTATTTTTCTTAAAAAGTAATGTATCTTTTAATTTTGTATTTACTTTAATTTGTTCATGAAGCTTATAAGAATGCAATAGAACATTTCTTTTATATATACATTAAATATCAATATTTAAAAATTGTATCTAAAACCGTGAATTCACTTAAGTGTTCAACTATTGGGTTGTCTACCCTACCCTACATTAAGTCTAAATAATAACATAAATTTTGTCATATGGACCCTTACATTGTTTTTATTCAGCCTAAGAATATATTCAAAAACACGATGAAGTATCGTCTAAGTACAGTGATAATTTATTAATTCTATATTGTCAAAGGGATGTTATTCACATAATAAAAGCAGCAGATGAGACAAATATTAATTATTGCCCAATTGAAGGAAGTTGCAAATCTTTTATGTAATCAATAGAAACAAATGGTTTCATTGTTTTCTATTGTATTTTCAGAATTGGCATTATAAAAGGAGTTTCTGTAAATACTGCAGAAGAACTTCTATAATATTCAGAACCATTACAAAAGATCTTGCAAGTTAAAAAGTAGTGAAGAAGATGCTGATAGAAGATGACTCCTTGAGACGTATCTTAATAAAATTTGATGGGCATACCCTTCTTTAGTTCCGATATATTTTCAAGGTAAGCCATCACATTGAAACCTTCCTTCTGCATATAATATTGTTATAATCTTTATTACTTTAGACATATAATAGCTAGTTGTAAGATTAAGGTCAGATGCATGCATTGTAGTAATGATAATCACTCGTTGATTGTAAATTTTCTTATCCTATCCATACAATTAACCAATTATAAAAGTTTGCATCAAATTAATAATCGGAATTGTCCAGAAAATTAGTGCCTTGGCCATTTAAACAGAATATCTAAATGTTTGGACTCAAAGCGATAATGAAAAATACCCCAAATTACAAATCTAAAAGAATATATTTGTCAAAGTACCTATGATTAAAAGTGCTTTTTTTAAATGGAAGAGATATTGACAAATCTTTCAGGCTTTTGTCTAATGTTTTCTGTACCTCTAAATCCTCAACTAAATATCTGATGTTGAACATTGTCACAGCTAGATCTTAGATACAAACTCTGACATAAATCTCAATTATGGGTTAAATAGTGTTCCTCTCAAGTGTAAAAATAGCAGTTTTTTTCCTTCATAATTCCCTTACAAACATCTATTAGTAAACCCCAATGGTAGAGTTCATGCAAGTAACATATCTGGTATCACAATGATCAATTTATGCATCACATTCAAAAGTTTCAGCATAGTGTCAAATCTAATTTATTAGAAATTGATAAAATAAACTCTTTTAAGGATCTATGCTTTATCTAAAATTATATCATAATGATGGCTAATATTTCAAAGTTTATGTTTCTTATTAGGTATACTATAGCAGTCCCTGGGGACTTACAGTGAATTTTCCGTTCAAGCGGCGTCACCCTCTGGGGACTGACAGTGGACTTTTTGTAACTGATCGTCTCTTGGAGGTCGCCTTTTTGCCGTTCCCCATCCCATTATCTTCTGTTTATAATTTGTATACTTGTGCATTGGCTGCACCATTCCCACAGTTCAAACGAAAGATGAAAAGGTGAAACAAAGTAATCTTCTGTTTATACTTTATATCCCAAACACCTCTTGAGCGCTCGGCACCAAGTGCTCGCTCACTGCCGTTTGAGCGGAAAGAATAGCAAAATCGGGGCCGCGCTTAACGTGTTAAAGCTAAAAAGAACGAACCGCTTCGATCCCTTTTCGTTATTTTCCGCGCCAATCTTCATAATGTTCACAGAATACTAAGTACACTGAGAAAAAGGGCAATATGATCATTACAAAATACCACAATTGAAATTTTACAGTAGTGAGTTAACCATAAACATTGTATAGCTGACTAGTAAAATAAATGTTAACGTTCCATTTTTATAATATTACAATTACCCGAGCAGAAATTTATTCAGGATAAAATCCGGCTCAGGTTAGTTTTACCTTGTCAGCCTGGTTCAGTCCAAAATCGGCATCACGTCAGGTTCCTGACGGTCGGGTGCCTGATCCTGAGCAGAAATTTAGTTTGGGACTTTTATTTGGCGTTTTCTAGTTATCCCCAATTTTCTTGGGGGCCCAGTAGGAAAACTTATGCGTAGCCTTACTAGGCTGGTCACGCTTTGATCTATGGGACCTCAACATATCTCAAAATTAAACCCCACTAAACCAATCAACAAAATTAATTTAAAAAAATATTACTTTACGTTTATTCAACCGATTTGATCTTACACTTTTAATTGGATATTCGAAACTTATTCTTTAAAATTGGTATATAATGATCGCTGAGAAGACATTTGAGTTTTTTGTCACTGGTGGGGATTCGAATCTGGAATCCTGTGAATTACTATTTCCCTGCGCCTTAACACACTTTTTTTTCGTTTTAAAAAAGTGGTTTATTTTCATTCATGTCGTTATACATAATTAAATAATAATTCGCCCTAGAATAACTTAATCTGTAATAAGATATATTTTTGATTTGTCATCATGTTTGACGTATCTCGCCAAAATACATTTATTATTATTTCTAGTTTTTTTATTACCACCATTATTGTTTTCGATATTTAATACTGTTTTTGTTTTTACCTATGGTAAAAGAAAGTAAATGTAAAAAACATTGTATATACATGATTTCTAATTAGTTTTAACTTAAAGGAACGAGAGGGGGGGGAGAAGAATGTGTTCTTATAAGTATGTGGGATGAATTATTTACATATTTACAGTTGCAAACGAAAGTTGCAATGTAATGCACTCAAATTGCAACTAATGTGATTTTAGAAACGTCTGGATTTGTGTGACCTGTTTGCAAACTTTGTAGAAGCTGTTGTATTAGCATTTTTTGTTTTAATCGGGCTCTGCACCTCAACTCCTCCATATGTTTAGCGTCTCCGTAGAGCCATCCGTATGCGGTAGATAGTCTTTCTAAATTATCACAATCTCTATCAGCCATTGCTGTCGAATATACCCATTTGTCTTGGGGTATATTATCTATGTCGGTAAAGGTAGGCTTTCTTGCGCAATTTCGTTTTATGTGGTATATAATTGGAACATTATTTTGATCTTGTATGATTCCCATTCCATCTAATTTGGTGAAAATTGTAGGCGATGAGTAATTACTGCGTGCCATCCGTCTTAGAGTAATTTCGTCATTTATTTTTAGGTCTTTCAGAATATTATTATCTATCTGGTGCAGAGTACTGTAGTAATTCCTGGTCAGTGTGAGAGTAAATATATCGAATCTTAGAATATTCGCCATATTGTATATT